GCAAAAAAGTCTGTTAGCCGCTTTTGTGCTGATATAGACTGGCGCATTTCGGGAAAAGGTAGGAAGAAAATAACTTACCTCATAATGTTCTTTGCTGTACGTCAGTTCAAAAGCGTCCGATATGGAGGGCAATCCGTCATGAATGATACCTAGCGAAATCCAAGCTCTATCCATTAGTCTCCGGCACAACACGCGCGCATTGCCCGTGTGGCTGAAATTGAGCGCCCGCTCGATCATTGATGTGAACTCGATGATGCAAGGATCGATCACTGCGCCATCAACTAGAGTGTTGCTGTGCATTTCCCAAATAGTTTCCAACAAAGCGGTCAAGGGGAAGGTGGCCCATGCAAATAGTGAAGGGATGCGCTGAGACAAATGAACCTCCCGAAAGAGGACAAATAAACTGATGACATACGTTTGGCTGAAAGACCACAATGGTGTCTTTGATGGGAGACAGGACAGTGGGATGGCTCCAAGTTTTGAATAGCGGCCTTATGACATGGTCATATATATCGCTAGTTTATCAGTCAAAATATAAATGAGCCAGAATACCATGTAAAGGGGCTGGAGGCTAACCTTCCATTTCGAAATTCTTCGTTCATCCGATAAACATCCACCGTGTACGTATTTTCAAATCGGAGAGCCTGAGGCTGGTTGTCACCAGACACCTTGTCATTGAATCGTTCATGGGGTAGGCTATGGTTGCATTGCTGGAGGCGTCGAGTCCAGCGGCGTCTAGCAGAGTCTTTGGCCGTTGTTCCCGAAAGAGCAGCGGAAATCATGCCAAGTTGGACAGGGTGAAATTTTGCTTCATCCCGGACGCGATGAGACAATTCATTATAAATCTGGCAACTGATTCCGTGAAGAACAGAGGCACCGCGGATAGGATCGCCTGGGACAACGTCACCCTCAACACGATTGTCGTCGTCGCCTACAAGGGGCGGGCGAAGAGCGCCATCGATTTGAGTAAGATGCGGCAGGAAATTTGATATTAGGCTGCGAGACTGAATGTTGCCAAGTGTCTTGGTGCAAGCAAGGGGGTATACGTCAAAGTGAGCCTTGTTGCGAGTATTTCCATGAGCATCATCGTCAGAGCGAAAGAGTTCATGAACGGAATGAAGGTTAAGTAGTGCCCCGCAGGTATAAAATTGCACTGGAGCGCGCCGAGGGACCCTGAATCCCTGCTCGTTATAAACATTGATCTCGAACCCATCCGCGTCGAGTAAAGGAAGGTCCTCCAGATTAACCTCAGTCCGCATGGGATCGTCGCTGGATTTATCATAAATGATACCACCTTCATTTTGAAAATTTGGAACATCGCGCCATTCCCTGACATCGAGATAGCTATCAGAAATCAGTCAATATGGCGCCCAAGAAGCAGAAGAATGCGCAGATACCTTATATGAGTCGCCAAAGAGAAGGTAAACTGCCGAATATGAGTGTAATTGCGATCATTGTCCCAATTTCTGCGCTCATCATCGAGGGCTCCATGGACAAGGAGGGGCTGGTTCTGTCCGTATCGGATAGTGACACCCACGGGCGCATTGTTGGTGAGAAAATTATCCTCCTTCCACGATGGAGGCGCCTGCGCTACCCAGTCATCCCAGCCGGTGTTCAAGATATGACTGAGTCGCTTGAAGTCTTCCAGTCGCAGAATGATACGCCGGTGATTTTCATCGACCCTCCCCCTTACAAATAACCCGGCTACATAAGGATGAGATTGATGCAAGCGTAAAAAAAAACTTACAGAATATCTGTCGATTCCTTGACAGCGGCACGAGTGAGAGGGACCGGATAGCGCTCTCGGCAGTGGATGTCTTGGAAGAGCATCTCAGTAAATGCATGGGCGATGAACATAACGATCATCAATGCATGACGCTGAGTCAGGGCAGTGCTGGGCGCATTCAGTGCTGGGTACGCTGTTCTGGCATTATCAGGGTGGTTTGGTTCGAAAAATGTTTTAGGAACTACAGCTAGCCATAGTTGCTCCTGTAGGCGCGTTCCGATATACACCATGCGGCCGATGGGGTTGAAAGGAAGGCAGGCAACGTTGCTATCAGGCCACAATCGGTGCGTGTTGGCGAGGTCTAGGGTGACCTGCCAGTTATGATCGGCTCGAATTTTAGGTATTGCTGCGTCTAGTCCTTTGCGATTGCCAACGTAGAGTGTATGGTCTATATAATGAGGACCGACGCGAGGAACTACGTTGGGGCCATCTTTTGGAATGGTATGGTCGTTGCCGATAACGAGCCTGTGGCGTCCAGATAACATGCCCATTGCACCCAAGGAGTCCTTATTGCGGTACATCGTACGCAGTTTTGTTAGAGTGACTGTGCGAGGAGGGGTAGTGTTGAAATTTGTCACGTAGTCCCGACCGGACTCTGCCTGCTGCTGGTACAGGGCAGTACGAACGTCCTCCTGAACATGCCCATCTCCAGCTGCCAGCTGCCGAGGAAATTCGGACACATTGAAGGGCATGTTGTTGGGTTGCTCGTCCTCATCGACATTATCATCGGCTACCGGGTTGTCATTGTTGTCGTCCTGCTCCCTGCAAGAATGAAGGGCATGAACGCTGAAAACTTGATGGAGAAAAGTCCAAGAGAGTAGCTCACCGTTCAGCATGCAAAATATCCATGTTATAGATAAAATTCCTAGATACTAGTATGGGCTGTAAGCGTCGATTTGGAACGGATGCGGCAGAGAGGAAGGAGCACTGGCAAATCGGTCAAGACAAGACTGTCTTATTTGAATGTATTTCGGAAACGCGGGGACCTTGCGTATATTATAACAATCAGAAGCGTTGATATGCAACGCTCAAGTGCGTGGCCTCCGATCGGGCTAGTGTCACTAGTTATGCAAATCCCGGCATCATAAAAATATTCCAGACACACTGTAATTACATACCAGATAAGCCCACAAACGAGCTCAAGCTCAGCGTCGTGTAGTTCAGCGTCGCGTAGGACTCCCCCGCGAGCCCCCGAGGCAGGAGGATGGATACCCTGCCATGGTGGAATGAAGTTACCAGGTGCTCTGAAACTTTCGTAAATTATTATGTCTATTCAAAGAGTCCAAACTTCGAATATGGCCTTAAAGCGCAGCCTAACGTCCTTACTAATAACCATAGCCGCGTTGCATTGATTGTGACGGCAAGAATATCTGATATCACCGAAATTACACAACTCAGACATGGGTATACATGGCAATATCGGAGCTACCATACCTGCCATAAGTATCCGGCGCAAGTCGGACAATGTTCGGAGAAAAAATATTACGCCATTCTAACTGCTATATGACTTTAGTCTGGCATTGGTCTGGCGTTCCGATATAATAGACATTTCCATGTGTATCAGGCATTTGAATCTCGCTCAAAGTAATCAGTCATGGCAATTTCATTCCGATACAATGAGACATTACATTGAAACATGACAGTACAAAACAGTAAGGTATAATTGAGTGTATCGTTCCGAGCCTATGTATGCGAACGCGGGTAATCGAGAATGGACAATAGAACAGGAATATGAACAATCTGTGAGTAGGTCAATAATACAGCAGTTCAGTAGTGCATGACAGCGAGAATATAAAAGCCAGAATATTAAAATAACACACGAGTATCGTTTGACGGCCTGCGAGTAATGCAAATAAAGGAAATGTGCAACGTGGATCCATGAAGTAGCGGATGGCTACTTCCTCGAACTTTTTTGTGCTGGCGTTGGTGCGGGTGCCTTGCGCTTCGTTGAACGGCCACCAGCCTGTGGATCGAGATTGTTACATTTAATACAAATTCCAGTATATGCTGGACTTACCTTCTTAGCCTTGCGCTTGGTTGCAATCTGTACAGGTTCGAAATCCTCGCACGACTCAGCTTCTGTCAAATCACTTGGGACATGCGACTCAGCACGTGCAGGCACTGCTGGCTTTGGCTTAGGTTGAGGAGCAGGGGGAGGTGGAGTTCGAGTTCGAGTTGGCTTGTGAGGTGGAGGTGAAGCTGGCTCACGAGGTGGAGGTGGAGTTGGCTCGCGAGGTGGAGGTGGAGTTGGCTCGCGAGGTGGAGGTGGAGTTGGCTCACAAGGTGGAGTTAGCTCGCGAGGTGGAGGTGGAGGTGGTGTTGGCTCACAAGGCGGGGCTGGAGTTAGCTCGCGAGGTGGAGGTGGAGTTGGCTCGCAAGGTGGGGCTGGAGTTGGTTCGCGAGTAGAAGGAACTGGTGTTGGGATTGCCTTGGCTGCACGACGTGCTGCCATTTGAGCGTGGACTCTTGCTAGATAGTTGTCCCTGCCTTCGCGAGAGCCAGAGATTTTATCGTCATCTCTAGTACTGCTGTTGTCACGGCCCTCCTCGTTCTTGAATAGTTTTCTTAGATAAATCAGGGTTAGCGCGAACCTTGAGAATATAAAAAAACCTTACACATTCCAAGCTTTGAGGAGGTCTTCTTTCCACTCCGGATCAGGTGAATCTTCGATAAGCTCGATGATGGTGTGGTAGAATTCCCGGTAGTTGAAAGCACCATCGATTTCGGACCAAGCGTTCTTAGCGCTGATACCAAAACGAACCTGAATAAAATTGAGCGACTCGTTAGTATGTAAGTTTGAAGCAATCGAACCTGTAAACAGCCATATGCGATATGTGCCGCTTCCACCGTGGTCATGTTGTGTAGAGCAGCGTTGCAGGTGCGTGTCGCGCGCGTCTCCCCTCCATATGCACTCGATGGACTTGTAAAAATGTGCCGCATAGTCTAATAAACAAAGAAATATCAATCTAAAACAATACCAAAAAAAAACGCCTACCCGCTCCAATAAGTAGCCATCAAACATGCCCTCAAACATGTTGTCGTCGTCATAGTCTTGACCTGGTGGGTCTCCGGCCCATAGGAATGCGGGAAGCGCGAATGCGGTCAAGTTAACCTTGCCGCACTGAATGTCTTTAAGTGCCCTGCGAAATGTTAGACTAACGTGAGGTGAACTTTAAAAAACCTCACTTGTCGGCGTCCTCTGAAAATCTCCCGAGTTCCCTGACCGGACAGAGAAAACGCGCTAAAACAGGGTGGTTAATACCCAAATGGGTCCGCGAACCACTTCCGTCGTATATAGCCGGACGTATTGGGTGGTCCTTGGTGTTGAAGGCTGCGTAATGGCCGATTTGGCTCTTGAGACGTGAGGTGTCGTCAGAGCGAGTAGCCGAGATAGTAGTATCCATCTGATGGATCAAATAAGAACATAATATATACATATATGCGCATGCACTCACTTTCTTGATGATAGTATTGAGCTCGGAGGCTTTCCGAGGGTCGCTGAGTAGAGGTTTTAAGCTTGGAGCGAGCTGAAGCAGCCGAACATAGTTCCTTTTATATCGTTCTTGGACTTTAGATGAACTGCGAAGCAATAAAAGAATTAGTCCATACTAAGATTTGAGATTGACTTACATCTTTGAGAGTCGCTTCTCGCGACAAACCTGGGCATCTTCGTCTTCCGATAGCTCACCATTCTCCACAGCATCGCGCTGCTGCAGAGCCAGACCTACATTAATTAGTTGTTTTGTCTTACAAAACACGTCGATGCAGCGTGCTATGCAGCGTGCAGCGGCGAGAAATTCTTCATGAGGATCGATGTTGGATTCTTTTTTTCTACATTGAGTTGTTATGAATGACCAGAACATTCGAAATGAATCAATTAAGTTACCTTGCCCTTTTCTCATCATCATGATCTGACGAACGGCGTCTTTTCTTGGGCCTCGTGTCCTTGTTCGAAACCGTGACCTTCTTCGGACGTAAAGGTTCCGCTGACGATGCTGAGAGAGTCGAGATATGCGAGGACACAGATGAATCAGACGACGCAGTCGAGTCAGAACGTTTACGACGCGACATGATGCTGGGGGAAAGAAAAATAAGCATCTACAAAAGTATCGCTATGGCCGGTTACTACCTTGTACAGTTTACAAACCCCGCGTTAACAGAATGTACCGTAAGAGATATGCACGAGATTGCAGCAGTATGCAAGACTAGCAAAAATGTGTGAAATGTAAAGCTAAGCTTGTACACGAAGTGTGCCAAGCTTGTAGAGTAGCCAACAGAAGTGCGGAGGTATGCATGAGATGTAACATGTATGCAAATCGGCGGCATATTCATTGCATTACAGCTAGTGCCGTCGTTCAGCTTCTTAAGCTTGGTGATGAACAGCAATGAAATTCGAGAATTGGCTAGTGTAGGCGAGTCCGGTATCCTTAGATTATGTTCAATTTTGAAGCTTTTGCAATACATACCTGACGGTAGCATAGTTCCATTCTGTATGTGTCCTAAGCCTATCTCTGTTTTTCTGTGCAAACTTCACATTACTGATGACCTCAACGGTCTCGTAGCCCATTGGCGTAAGAAGATGCCCATCTCCACAATTGCAAGTCCTTGATCAGTAAGAGCCGACACTTGATACATCGATGCAGTCCAACCCATCGTGACAATGAGCGCTCCTGTACCCACGTTCATCTTAAACCGCGATGCTATAGTATACCGTCTGCTGTCAAAGGTCTCACGAGTCTATACTTTCGTGACGGACGAGGAGGAGTCGGTGCTAGTGATGCAAGAAACAACAACTCTCCGTCCGAGTCGCTCAAGCCGCGTCAAGGGAGATACCAGCCCAGGCCCCATACGCAGCCATCCGAATGCCCTGTCGGCCGCTTCGATCAATATTTCTACTTGGGTTATGATGGTATTGACGTAACGATGCGGGCGCTTGCCACACAATGGAAACCGCAACTGGACTGCCATCACTGTGTCATGCATCCCGTGGTTATCGGCTACTATTCGTGCATTGGCTGCCTCAGAGCATGGTATCGAGGTAATTAGCCAGTTCACAAGTGCCGAGTGTGCAAACTTAGCACACTTAAACTCCCTGAGGCATGCTGGCAAAAATCAGTCAGCAAATCGAAATCAAAAAACGTGAACAGAACAATGCCCGTCGTCCGAGGATAAACACCAATAGCCTCTCTCAGTGAGTATTGTAGATCACGCTTGATATTCACGGGAGAAATCCCTGCAATGAATATCGTGTTTTGCACCATGGATTCTCCAATTTTAAGGATATCTGGTTCTAAGGGTGCGTAAAGGGTCTGCAAGGAAGTGTAAAATGAGCTGTCAGCTCATCGAAAAAGGTGTAATTGAACGCGCCTATTAACCTGAAGCAATTCAAACTGGCTTCTAATGATGCGCCTCCTTTGCAATCTGAGCACCGTATGGGTTTTTAGGATCCTTGGCGTACGTCTCCGCTGCAACACCCATTCATGCGAGGTCGAAGTGGAAAAAGCACATGACGTACAACGAAAACCCGCCTCCTGCATCTTCGAGACAAGGTAAAAGGTTACTGCACTCGCTGCTAAGAAGGGCGCCATGGGCCTCAACACCTGTTAACACGACTGGTCATCGGAAAATCACTTGTGGCACGAGAAATGCCATGAGTGTGATCTAGTACAGAGTTATTAGTTGAAACTCACTGGTTATAAGGCTGGAGTGAACTGAAAGAGCGGAGCGAATGATGTGAATCATAGGGGAACAGACATGAAACGCCTATTAGGAAGGTGCTTCTCACGCCAATACACGTCCAAAGTAACGCTCGAGCTCACTGTCAGTCGCGTTGTCTAGGTCATAATGGCAGCAGAGCCACATGCTACACAGTGGTATTTGAGGATAAAACAAAGAGTCTATCTACGCAGGAGCTTAGGGCACTCTCGAGAAAGGCACTGATGAAGACAGACTGGACACGTTGCGCAGGTTGTTGTGTCGACGATTAATGGGAACCCTCAGGTATGTTCCAATCTTTTCTGTAGAGCGCATGAAGCTGATGCAACGGTGGCGGCCCAGCCCACGCTCTTGATGCTTATCATACAATATATTATGCCTTCCAAAAACAAGCAGCTCAAAAAGCTACTTCACTTCTACTGGAGGTGTGTCCCAAGTATGACGAGAACGGGAAGCTTAAGCAGGAGATGATTCTAGTCGTGTACGTGTATCTATTATCCTCCTACCGTGCATATACTCACCTTGCCCAGCAATGCCATCCAAAACGACTTGGTAAGACTGATTCCTGCACTCCGGATGTTCTGTTTTTCATATCCCTGCAGCAACACCCCAACGAATATATCCGTGGCGCTACCTTACGATATCCAAAGATGCTGAACTCCTCGAACCCCTGATTTCTACCTGCCGCAGCTGTCTCGAGCACCGTCATTCCTACGTCCGCAAGAACGCCGTATTCGCCGTGTACACTATCTACCGCGAATATGAACACCTCATCCCAGATGCTCCCGAGCTCATGCAGACTTTCATTGCTGCAGAGTCTGACATGACGTGCAAGCGTAACGCATTCGTGTTCCTTGCGCATTGCGCAATGCCCAAAGCTGTGGAGTGGTTAATTAGCGTCTATGATCAGCTGACAAGTCTAGACGAACTCTTGCAAGTGAGCATCATAGAAGTCGTCAGGTTGGATTGTAAGAACGACACGACGCATCGAGTAAGTCCTTTTCATTTAGGCTATCTGTTTATCCTCATTTTTGTCGGTTTGCAGCCCCGATATATCAGATGCATGTTTGAATTGTTGAATTCATCGTCACACGCAGTAAAGTACGAAGCTGCTACGACGCTCACTACACTCACGCAGAACCCCGCTGCTGTGAAAAGTATGTTTACGATCAGATCCTGTACGCATATATGCTCACTTTCATAATTAGCGGCTGCCTCGTGCTTTGTCAATCTGGTCATTAAAGAATCCGACAACAACGTTAAGCTAATTGTCCTGGATTGCCTGGATTGCCTGGATTGCCTGGATCGCCTGGATACCCTACGCTCCAAACATGGTCATATACTGGATGGACTGACGATGGATATCTTGCAGGTCTTGTCGAGGTACAAACATTGATCGATCACTAGCTGAAAATAATACTGAATCCTATTGTATCAGCGCCGACATGGAGGTTCGAAGGAAAGCCATGAGCATCGTACTCAGCATGACCTCGAATCGGAACGTCAAGGAAGTTGTTCTCTTCCTCAAGAAGCAGCTGCAGCAGACACAGGAGCGCGAGTTCGAAAAAGTCAGTCTCGCAGTCCTGCACGTTACCGTGAACTGATTTTGGGATAGGCCCCGGAGTACAGGCAACTTCTAATCCAATCGATCCATGTTTTAGCAGTCAAATTTCCTGAGGTAGCTGCAAGTGTTGTTCATGCGCTCATGGAATTCCTTGGAGACTCGAATAACCCCTCTGCGCTGGACGTCGTGGCCTTCGTCCGGTTTGTTTTTCCTCCTAGTCTCTACATCTTATTTCACTAACACTCCCGCAATGAAGTAGTCGAGAAGTTCCCACATCTCCGGCCGTCTATATGCGACAAGCTCACTCAAACTTTGACAGAGATCAAATCCGGTAAAACCTTCCGCGGCGTCCTCTGGATTCAGGGGCGAGTATGCCGAAGGCCCGTCAGATATTCAGGCCACATTCCAGGACATTCGCAAAGTGATTGGCGAGATTCCTATTCTTGCAAGTGAGCAGCGCTTACTGGACGAGGCTGACGGAGAGGAGGAACAAGAAGGCCGAGGGAAGCGGGCGGCCAAAGGTACTTGCTGACGGGACATATGCGACGGAGACGACGTACACCAGCACCAACTCAGCGAGATCAGAGGCTGTCAAGGCTGCGTCAAAGCCTCCATTGAGAGGTGCGTGGTGTGCCCATTTATTTCGTTCGGAACTTTTAAGGATGTGATGTCAGCTCTCATATTGGGAGGCGACTTTTTCACGGGTTCGGTACTCGCCTCGGCGCTGACGAAGCTTGTGCTGCGATTCGATGACCTTACAGACGACCGGCCAAAGGCCAACGCTCTCCGTGCTGAGGTACGTACTACTGTTAATGTTTCTATAGCATTCACTGACACCCACCCAGTCCATGTTGATCATGACATCTATTATCCGCGTCGGCCAGTCGAAGTTTGTCACAGTACCGATCGATGAGGATTCCAACGAGCGCATTCTTAACTGCATACAAACTTTAAGCGAGCTCCAGGAAAAGTCCATCGTCCACGATATCTTCTTGAAGGACACGAAAGCTGCACACTCCAAGATGCTCGTCGCTCAGGAGGTGCGTGCCTAGTCTACTTCAAGTTGTGTTGCTGATAAGCGGACAGAAAAAGGCAGCGGAGAAGAAAGAGGCGGAAAACACGAAGGAGCATGTTGTGCAACTCGATGACTTGCTTACTTTCAGGCAGTTTTCGAGAAAATCGGCGGATGACCCCATTGATGTAGGCCTTTGTCATCGACTGATTATACGCCATTCATTTTTTTTTCCAGTACGTGGAGGACTTAGGCAAGGCAACGGGAGCTGCTGAAGTCTGGGAAGACTTTATATCCAACCTCAGTCGCATATCCCAGCTCACAGGTATATCTTGTAGTGCTGCGGTCGTTTCAAGTTTCAGTGCACTTCTAGGTTTCTCGGACCCTATATGTGCGGAAGCATTCGTCATGATGCACGGATTTGATATTATGCTTGGTGTGTATACGAGCTAATTTTTGGCGATACTCATGAACGGTACTCAGATGTCCTTCTGGTCAACCAGACGTCTAATACGCTGCAGAATCTCTGTCTTGACTGCGCAACGCTTGGTGACCTCAAACTGGTCGAACGACCGGCTGTATATACCATAGCACCTCACGGTTTCCAGAGTATCAAGGCTACAATCAAGGTAACAACCAAAGATACTCCGTCACTCAACCATGTTAATTGTGCATCGTAGGTTTCGTCAACAGAGACTGGCGTCATATTTGGCAGCATCCTATGGGATGGGCCTGCCCTCGCTGAATGCTGTGTTATTTTGAACGACATCCACATCGAGATTATGGACTATATCAAGCCTGCGTACTGTAGCGAGACGCAGGTATGTCTTTAATATCTATAGTGGCCGTCTAAATACTCACTGCCCTCAAGTTCCGAAGCACGTGGACAGAGTTTGAGTGGGAGAACATGGTTAAGGTGTCGACGAACATGACGTATTTCTCTCGGGATTCTCTTATCTAGTCCTTAGCTAACACACCCGCATAGTGACCCCCGCGACTACCTGAAACACGTCATGAAGTCTATGAACATGTAGAAGGAGCCATGTCAGGCGATTGTGATTTCCTCTTTGCCAACATGTATGCTCGAAGTTTGTTCGGTGCGGTTCTTTCCACGAGTTTTGGGTCAGCATCGGTCTTATTTCGTGATGACACAGGCGAGGATGCTTTAGTCAATTTGAGCATCGAGAAGACGGAAGCTGGGATTGTAGGCCACGTTCGTACTCGGAGCAAAACGCAGGGCATCGCTTTATCGCTGAGCGACCGTATTACGATGTGCGAGTGTATGTGTTTGAAGAATATATCCTGACGATTGATGATTGTATATCTGTAGCCCAAAAGGATAGCAAGTCGTCGATACGAAGCGTGTAGACATGGACCAGGTTACTGAACTGTACACATAGGCATCATGTACTAGAGAAGGAGACACATGAATGTTTGATGCAACGCTAACACATGGTGATCGATCTTTACATCAATAGGTACCCAAGCGGTCCCCTACATAGCCAAACCTCTCAGCAACAGAGATCATTTTTAAACCCTTCGATTCCCCTCGTATTCCCTTACACAGCTTACACGTTCTCACTGGACCGCTGTGGTACCTTGTCTCTCTATTACACAAGGTTCCTGCACCTCTACGCATTCAAACATTCAAATTGCACCTCGATGAGGAATATCTGGCATCCACTCCCAATTACTTGTCTGCAATCCTGGATATTACTCAACAATTTGTTGCTATAGACTACCTGGGACCGAATTTTCGTCACGGATCACTTATTTCTGGAAGTTTTGATGTCCCCTTGGGTGAATATCGAACTATTCCGGTGAAGAAGCTCATGATTCATCTACCATATCGGTACAGGTATTCAGATCAACACCTTCCCACTTGTACTCACTCGTACTTATCCAATACTTGGTCTTATATGTCACCTTGTCCTTATTGCAGTACCCAGTTTCCCAAACAATTAAAAGCTGCTGCCCATCTATCTGCATATTGTACTAGGGGTTCGCTGTGTGAACTTATGACCTTGCCATGGCCCAATTTTTTATTCACACAGTATTAACACGAACTATACTGCCGTTCCAGTGGGGTAGTAATATAAGTCGCCTAAAGCTACATGCATGGCAAAGCCCGCTAGCTAGCCAATTATCAGTCACCCTTGTGATGGATGATGGTAGTTTCTTTCTCGACACATGTGAACTATCGCTCGTCAAATACTGAATATTATGAATGCGAAAGGGGTCTCGCAGAACATCCCAGAACTTAAATGCATCTGAAGACCAACTGTCATGGAAGAATCCCAATCTCGCAAACGACAAGCGGAAAAAACACGCGAACATCCTTGGTACTATGCAAACAACTTTCGTCCGACAAGTGCTGTATCAACATTTGCAACAAATCTTCACGCAGACAGCAGTTTCTTCTCCCGCAGCACAGGCAATATCTTTAAGAGACGCAGTAGACAACGCCGATGATAGAGAAACCGACACCTCTCGAATTATATAACCAAGCAGTGATGGGACTTCCAAAAATCCTTGAAAAATCAACCCGTAAGCCTTGGGGCCACTTCGTCCAGCTCCCGTGTCAATACAAACTCCAGACAGCAGATGTCGCATAAGCCTTATCTTCGTTTTTCTCATGACGATTATGTTTGTAGTCCGTGATCCCGAACAAAGCGTGAAAACTGGATAGCATCAGCAGAGAACAGCGATGACGTCGTGGAAGCTGAAAACAACATATCTCCGATTGGACCTTCTCCTTGAATACAATCATCAGATTTGGAACAAGTCACGCAACTGTTCATTGATGAGCCGTGCTCTGAACCGTTATTGTCAGACGAGAATATGCTAGCCAGTCACGACAAAAACAACATCACTGGCTGCGTGATCGACCACAAGAAACGAAAGATCAGTGGAGAAATTGACAGCGTCATCCTAGATGGAAATAAGAGCACGCATTGGGATATCAAGCGTTGCGACGTCAAGACGCCGAATGGGAATTTTGTTTGACGAATACTCGGGTATTGAGAAGGAAGGTCAGACAAAGAGACAAGTAACAGGCGATATTAGATTGCTCCAAGAATTGGCAGACAAGCTCATGGAGTTAGCTCGAGCAGGCGGGGAGATCGACGAAGATGAACATCCAGGATATTCTGAAAACGAGGGAGCCGAGTTGAATTATTCGTTCGCCCCAGAACAGCAAGGATATATGTAGATGTAGATGTAGGAAGCACGCGTGTTTAACATATCGATATAACATATGCAAGACGATTTGAAGAGCTGCACGAACGGTATATACCGTCTCGCCCGGAAGCTCGAAGAATCGTTGAGGTCGAGGATGGTGAGCTCGACAGTACAAACCGTTGTGCTCAGAAAATATCGTGAATTGGCGGTCGAGACTGGAGCAGGTCGTAGTCTGTAGAGTGACGAAGTCCGATGAATGGCTCGAGGTAGTCAGGCTCCTCAGAAGTACTTCATTAACCCTGACTAGACGTACACGACCGTACATACAGTCATGCCGTGTGGAAAAGGGCGAAGACCATCGGAGATGTCAAACCAGGGAGTAACAAGAGACTCGGTTACGTTCAGGGCGATGAAATCGGGAGAGAAAAGCGAAGACACGACCGTACAAACAGTCATGCCGTAGGGAAGGAAGCGAGCATGACGAGGAAGAAGGCGGAAGGACCCTAGGATATAACGACCAGCTCGCCAATACAAACCATCGTGTGTAGAACCGGACTTCAAAATATGTTGCGGCAAATCGGCAAATCGAACCATAACACATCGTCCACCATAGACGTCTTCGCAATAGTGTCATTTGGTGCAGATGTTCGAGGCCGAGCCTTCTTCGGAAAACTGGTTATCTCCACCTGTGCGTGGGCCCTGCGCCGACAGCGTTTACGTTTTGATCGTACAGTCACGTCTTTGGATAATTCCAACTCATCTCTTTTGCGCAGACCTATTAGCATATGTCAAATGATTATTTGAGAATCGTCTTTCCTGCACTTCGTTAAATAACTTAGATCAATTCATAATACAACTTCCTTCCCCTGGTGCGACGGTTTGTACCATCGCGTCCATCTCGCTTGGCTACGGCACGATGATTTGTATCGTCGTATTTTTCCTTCGGACACTTCGTTCGACACATGATAGGCTTTCGTGGCCCAGAGCCCGACGGCTTGTACTGTTGAGCTCGCAGTCCTTGATGACCTTTCTTCTCCATCATCGTCTTCCTCGCTTCCAACCCCGCGGCATGACTGTATGTACAACGATGTCCGCGCCCCCCAAGTAAAGTGCGTTGGAGGCTACTCGATCAGTACCGCCACAGATCCTATCCACGCTATACGCAGTTTCATTGTAGATGACGTACAAGTGCTTGTAAAGCTGAAGAGTGACCCTTCATGAGGGGCAAAGATATGTAGGACTTCCCATACGCCAAGTGCGACCGGAAACAGAGCGTTATGATTTTCTAACTGTAAATTGGAACGAATGAATACATTGTGATCGGCCGAGACGAAACCATGACGCGCGCGGGACGGGCGATGATGAAAACGACAGTACATGCCGCCGAGCACATCGAATATGGCAGACCGAACCTGTCATTCAAGAATCGACGGTGCATATGCCATGATATCGTACTCACAGTCGTAGATCATTGATTATGAGGATGAATTGTAGGAAGTTGAAAAATTTAAAGATGGCATTGATCGCACGAACACGTCGTTTGTACTTTCCCTAAATGTCACCCGCGAGCCGAATGCTGCACACCCTCTACCACTGGCTGCAGTGATTGCCCAGATCCAAACGATTTCAGATCATGCTCGTGTGATCACTAATCACAGTGGTGGCTACTAGTATACCGACTTGCATTCCCGCATTTGTCCGGCTCGACGGTCTGTACTATCGAGTTGAACTGCGCACCTTCTAACACTGGTGTGGAGGAACGATACACGCGGGAGGTTTTACGACACGCTAGAACAAAGGTACGAGTCTCAGTATTCGTTTCGAATCTCTATTAACAATTGTTTGTACCTAGAACAAAGGTACGACTAGATGTACGTCAGCGCTTGCGCTCGAACGTTACAGTGGGACTTGTACTTACGTCTCAGTATTCGTTTCGAATCTGAGACGTTTCGACGAAAACAGCGTCCTCTTATACGGTGAGTCTGCCAGCAATAGCTTTGATGAAAAATATATATACTTAAAGAACGAAAAGATTGCCGACGTTGACACGTCGTCGACGTTCTCCGTTTGGAGACGCTCGCACTCGATGTGCTCTATTCTTCGGCCGTATCGTCCTTTCCTTTCTCAGCTCTCTCTCTCTCGGCCTTACTTCCCTCGGACACATCGGCTCTCAACACTCCCCCTCGAGCGTTATCCAAACACATCAATGTCCTCAACCTCTGGAGTCGGGGACGTGCCAATGGCTTCGTGAACGCGTCCGCGACATTGTCGTCACTGGGGCAGTAGATTATCTTGAAGGTACCGTCCTTCACGTGGCCGCGTACGAAGTGGTATCGCAGGTCTATGTGCTTGGTGCGCGATTGGAATTTTCCCGTCGAGACTAACGCTATAGCAGCTTGGTTGTCGCAGAAGATGGGTGTGGGGAGGTCTTGGACGTCGTAGAGCTCGCGGATGAGGAGTTGCAGGTAAAGTACTTCCCTTGCCACGCTGGTCAACGCTATGTACTCAGCTTCAGCTGTTGACAGGGCTATGATAGGCTGTTTGCGCGCGCTCCACGAAACGGGGCCTCCATGGAGCAGTACGATGTACCCGCTCATGGAGTGCCTATGTGGCTGCGATGCCCAATCGGCATCGACAAACGCCTCAATTCCTCCCTCGCTGGATCCCAACGTCAGCTCATAGTCTGCGGTGCCTTTCAGGTACCGCAGGGCGCGTTTGGTGGCCTCCCAATGGGGTCTCCCCGGATTCCTCATAAATTGCGACAGTGTTGCCACCGCAAAAGCGATATCTGGCCGGGTACTCGTAGCTGCGTACATTAACGAACCGATCGCGCGTTGATATGGTATGTCTCGCATAGCTTGGAGTTCGGCGTGTGTTGCAGGGGACTGATCTATGGAAAGGACAGTACCTGGTTCCATGGGCGTGTGCAGGACCTTCGCGTCCTCCAGGTGGAACCTTTCGAGGATCGTCTCGACGTATGCCTTCTGTGAAAGTGTCAAGGTGCGTGCTACGCGGTCCCTCGTCACCTTCAGCCCCAATAACCAGCTCAACTCCCCTAGGTCGCTAATCTCGAAGTGCGCGCGCAGCTCGGACTTAAACCGATGGATATGGGATATATGGTTGGCGGTGACGGCCATGTCGTCGACAGAGACGGTGATGACGACGTGTTCGCGCGAGGTGCGTTTGTAGAAAACGGCTTGATCTACTTTTGACCTGCTGAAGCCCATTTCATTGAAGGCTCCAGCTAGCTCCTGCGCCCACTCATATCCTGCTTGTTTGAGTCCAGGTAAGCTTCTTTTCAGCTTCAGTACCTTCCCTTCCTGACCATCCTTCAAGTATCCAGGGGGCGCTCGCATATATATGTCCTCCTGCAGACTCGCATATAGGTACGCACTTTTAATATCGACTTGGTGTATTTCCCAGTCGTGCTGAGCAGCCATCGTTAGGACTGCACGTATTGTGCTCATATTGGCCGTGGGGGCGAAGGTTTCGAAGAAATCGACCCCGTACTTCTGGCGCTGCCCATTTGCAACTAGGCGCGCGCGAAGCTTCAGCTTCTCGCCGTCCGGCCCGCGCTTTGTGGCCAGGACGTAATGGCATGGGATAAGGTTTACGCCTCGAGGTGCGTCTACGATTTCCCACGTACCTAGCTTCTCGAGTTGACTGACTTCGTAATTGATGGCTTCTTGCCACTCTGCAGCGTCTGGGCCCTTCAAGGCTTGTTGGAGGGTCGGTTCTGGTTGGACGGCGGCCAATGCTAGGTGAATATGCGCCTCTTCATCCAAGAGGTCGAGTTCTGACGCTTCCAACAGGCTTTCCATGGTTAGGGCTGCCGTTTGGCCCTCATTCAGCGCCGCATAGTACCCTGGGGGTGGTCTTACCCTCGTCGACCTCGCTTCAGGAGTAGATGGTTGAGGTTGCTGGGCAGTAGACGGTTGAGGTTGCTGAGGAGTAGATGGTTGAGGTTGCTTAGGAGTAGAAGGTTGAGGTTGCTGAGGAGTAGATGGTTGGGGTTGCTTAGGAGTAGAAGGTTGAGGTTGCTGTGGCATGGTGATGGGCTGGACGCTACTAGGTGAGTTATTATTACCGTTGCCGCTGTTATGTTCGTTGACTACAGCAGACTCCCCCTCGTCCGGCATACCATCGGCTGCCAGGATCGGCGTGAAGGTCACATTCCTCTCCACCGAGACACGCCGTCTGCCGGGCCAATACACCCGGTATCCTTTACTTTCAGCGTCTACCCCCACAAAAACTGCCTCCTCCGCCCTCGCCTCCAGCTTACCAGCCTCCAGCATATGGACGAAGACCCTGGCCCCAAATTCATGGGCCTGCGACAAGTCCGGCTTGGACTTGCGCACCAACTCGTAGGGCGTGCTACCTGGGATCGCCCTTGAAGGTAGGCGATTCTTGAGCCAAGTGGCGTAACTAACGGCCTCGGCCCACAGGTACTTTGGCATATCTCTGCCTAGGAGCATTGCTCTCGCATGCTCGACGAGTGTCCGGTTGAGTCGTTCGGCGACACCATGCTGTTGGGGTGAGTCGTGCACTGTTAGCTGCCGCTCTATACCTTGCTGACGCAAGTATTGATCGAACTCGGCGCTCAGATACTCTCCTCCTCTGTCCGAACGGATTTTGCGCACGCGCACACCTGGTGATTGACGGGCCACCCATGCCTCATAGGACTTGAACGCGGTAAGTGCGTCACTCTTTTGTTTGAGGAACTCGAGTCGCGTCTGCCGGCTAAAGTCGTCCGTGAAACTGACATAATATTTACAGCCTCCCAAACTCGTCGTCTGCGCCGGTCCCCAGAGGTCCGTATGGACTAGTTCTCCGTATGTAAGTGCGCGCATCTTCGTTTCTCTTGGGAAGGACTGCTGAGCTGACTTAGCTTTCACGCAGACTTCACAGAACTGGATGGCGGGCGCCGGATCTATGTCTATGCCCAGGATTAGGCCCTTCTTGACTGCGTCAAGAAGGGCCGCATGTGATACGTGCCCTAGGGCACGATGGACATCATTGATGGTAAGCTTTGTCCTGGCGACGTTGGCACGATGCTTACGGTCGGACGTTACAGCGTAAAGTCCCTGGACTTGGGGTATTTCTGCGATCGTCCTTCGTTCGGGGGGAGCAGACAGTATCCTGCACATTCCTCCTTCGAACAGCACGGCCAAACCGGCGGAGGCGATCTTATTGGTGGAGATAAGGGTAAATGCCATGGAGGGGGCATATAGGACGTCTTTTAGCGTCACGGTCGTTCGTTTCGAGCCCAACGGTAAGTCCATCCTCACGTCTCCTCGTCCTGTCGCATTGACAGTAGCTCCATTCGCAGTGTATATCTTCTGCGGGGCGATCTCGACGAAGGATACAAATTTTGCCCTATCCGGGCAGAAATGAGAGGTCGCGCCGGAGTCTACTATTGCTCCTCGGCGCTCTGGAGGTACGTCCATCGATTTTGCTATGACTGCGAGGTCTGACGTAGCGAAAGCGTAGTTGTCCTTTGGCTCCGGCTCTTTGGCTACATTGGCACTTTGTTTTTGGGTGCGTCCTCCTTGTCTCTGCCGTTGATTCGGCCCCTGACCTTCTTTTCCTCCACCTTTTCGCCAACAGTCACTCTTCCAGTGGCCCTTACGATCGCAGTTCGTACAGACTGCGTCGGGGTTGGATTTTGGAGCCGAGCTCTGCGAGCTTGTGCTCCTCCCTGCATTTGTTCTCGCGGAGAGCGCACTGTTGGTCCCGCGTTTGTTGGGACGTCGTTCGGTGAGTAACCGGTGCTCGTATTCCTCTGTGATGATGGTGATGAGTTCGTAGGGCGAGAGGGGAGTTTTCGTTATCTTGGCCGCTGCGTTCATCGACGACAGTAGCGGCCGGTAGGATTCAGGTAAGGACCCTAGGATGATGGCATGAAAGTCCGTATCAATGACGGCTACCCCCATTCCAGCTAACGACTCCCTCAGGCGCAAAAGCTCTGAAAAATGAGCCTTGACGTCACCACCTTCTTCGCACCTCGTCTCCTGGAGCCTCCGTCTCAGATCTATCTGGACGAGTTCGGTTTTGCCTTCATGTATGTGGCATATTTCCTTCCAGATTTCGGACGCGGATGCTAACTTTTGGACACGTAACAGCAGCCGATCTGTGATCGTGCAAAATATTTGCTGTTTTACGAGTGAGTTCTTTTGTTGATACTCATCGGTCTTTGCGTCGAGCTCATCGATTTCTTTCTGCGTAGGTGTTGTACCATCCGGCTTCGTAACGGCCCCCGTAGAGCTCTTTACGAAAGGCGTAGGCTCTTTAGCTCGTCCATCGGTATATCTCGTAAGTCCTCGTGCACCTATAGCCGTTAACGTCCTTTCCTTGTAGGTTATCCAGTTCGAGCCATCTTCGGCGAGCTTCGGGATGTTAAAAAGGTTTGAATTGGTGCTGGGAGTCGACAAGTCCATGGAGGAGACAGGGCTCATAACCTGTGGAGGAACGATACACGCGGGAGGTTTTACGACACGCTAGAACAAAGGTACGAGTCTCAGTATTCGTTTCGAATCTCTATTAACAATTGTTTGTACCTAGAACAAAGGTACGACTAGATGTACGTCAGCGCTTGCGCTCGAACGTTACAGTGGGACTTGTACTTACGTCTCAGTATTCGTTTCGAATCTGAGACGTTTCGACGAAAACAGCGTCCTCTTATACGGTGAGTCTGCCAGCAATAGCTTTGATGAAAAATATATATACTTAAAGAACGAAAAGATTGCCGACGTTGACACGTCGTCGACGTTCTCCGTTTGGAGACGCTCGCACTCGATGTGCTCTATTCTTCGGCCGTATCGTCCTTTCCTTTCTCAGCTCTCTCTCTCTCGGCCTTACTTCCCTCGGACACATCGGCTCTCAACAACTGGCTGCAGTGATTGCCCAACCATTCTGTACGCTTAACAATGTGGACCCCCAGTTCGTGCATTAATCGTCCATTGATTTCCACAGGCAATTGGACGAATCTGATCGCGTTTCTCCGGATGCGGCATATCAAACGCGCTGTGATTGACTTGCCTCTATTTGTATAATTAGTGGAGATTAAACAATGAATTGACACCTGCCCACAACTTCGTGATATGTGGTTGAGTGGGGCCAATCACTTAAATAGCCCTTCGACTCTGTCTCGTCTGCCTCTCAATGTTGAACAACACACTCGTCATTTTTACTGTCCATCAAGAACATATCCTCTTTCCTGTCGATATTGTTTGATAATATACTCTAATGGTAGATCACCTCTTCCATCATTTACTTACTTACTAATGATCAACCAGACCGCGATCCCGAAGCATTCCATCACATCCCGACTGTTTGAAATTGCCCGTCCAAAAAGGCAGTCGCATGTCCAGTACTATGGATATGCGGTTTCTCAGGAATGGCTGATCTGGTTTTCGAAGAAGTTCAGACCGGAAGATCGCAACGACATGGGTGTCACGTCAAAACAATACTTCGAAGGCCTTGCGAAGCTGGCGAACATCGACGATTTTAGTTGGAAACATTGTTTCGATCCAAACGGTGGCTCGGTCAACGATGAAGAACCCAAGAACATTCCGATCGACACCGTCGAGGTGCTCTATGTGTGCTCAGATGAAGAAGGTTCTATTCAGAAGTGTCCTGATGAGGAAAAGCTCGAGGTCATGACGGCGTTGCTTGGGCATGGACCAAAGTGGTGGGCGGGTTGTTCTCGTTGATATTGAACGATGGGTTGGAACGAGCTGCGCAGCATTTTCAAAGCGTCATTAGTACATAAACCTTCTCCTGTACGATTATATACATATACCATATATCTTCTGTCCAAAATACAACTTTGTTTAGCGAAGAACTAGCGGTCGCCAGCGCTAGGCCAGAAGCCCGCGGGTTCAAAGTTCACTGACTCCCACACAAAACGAATGGTATGCGTAAATGCATCTCTCCATTGGAAGTCAGCCCTCTCTCTCAAAAAAAAAAACCTGTCAATAGGCGTGCTTGAAGCACGTACTGTGTATGTGACCAGCACAAGCGGAATATAGTGGGGTGCAGTGAGGTTTAAGACCCACTACTTGAGGTAGCAGGAATTATCACACCGAACAATGTGGTCGGAGGACCATGGGACAAACATCGTCCTATTTCGAACGACGCGCGGAAGCGACAGAACTGAGTTGTATATGAACTGACGTGTTATATTTGAGGTGGAATTCCGTACATTGCCACCAGATGTTTAATTTAAGTACGGAAGCAAAGATGTTTGGAATAGGCTAGTTGTCCGACTGCCTGTCAGTCTCGTTATCATCCAAACCGCGCTTCCATGACAGTTTCAGAGCTCCCGGTGGGTCGCGAGGGCTGCTTAGAGTAGTGAGAGGCCAGTTCGAGACAATGGAGTTGTGTCAACAAACAAGGATGGGGTTGGATCTATCGAAGACGCGCGTAGTGTGTAGAGTGGCGAAGTCTGATGGTCGAGAACGGATCGAGGCAGTCCACTGAGAAGTACTTCATTAGCCCTAGCCAGACATACACGACCGTACATACAGTCATGGCGTGCGGATAAGGGCGAAGACCATCGGGGATGTCGATCAGGGAGTAACGAAGGACTCGGAACGTTCAAGGTGACGAAATTGGGAGAGAAAGGTGGGGACACGAGGGATGTTGTAAGTTAGGCATATAAGTAGTTTCCTTGAGAAGTACTTCATTGAGTACTTGCACACTACTGTAGATGCAATCATACCGTGTGGATGAGGGGGAAGGCCAAAGACGTCAAGCCAGGGAGTAGCGAAGGACTCGGTACGTTCAAGGCGGTGACACGACCGTACAAACAGTCATCCCGTAGGGAAGGAAGCGAACATGACGAGGAAGAAAGCGGAAGGACGCCTATGACGATGAGCTCGGCAGTATAAACCGTCGAGTCCGTGTGCAAGGAAACTGAAGGTAAAGATGAAGGAAACTTGTATAGTAACTTGGATTGGCTAAATGACTCAGGCTTATGTAATAATACCGCGATCGGGAAGATCGTTTATCGTTTATCGATGCGAAGTGGTAGCTTGCGAGCACAAGATAAGTCAGTCTACGTTACGAATTTGTTTCAATGCAGCTCTTTGAAATCAGCAACGTACCACGCACGCAGACTCGGATCACATTTTCGCAGGACAAGATAGACGACAGCATATACTACTACATATCGATGTACAAAAAAAAAACTTCTATAGTAGACGCAAACTTATATTCTATAATACACTGCGGGATGTACTAATACATGTTTCAACAAATCATCACCCGCCCGTTCCCGATCACCAGGCAGCCCAATCATAGTAGTGACTCGCTGATATAGTTGGGTAAGATATGGAAGGACTTAACTCTTCAACGTCTCCCGTCAACACAAGGCCTACGTCCTTAAGTTGCTTCAGCTTCAGGAACTCCGGTTGTGTGACCGGGGAGACCAGGATGGACGTGATGGAATGGCGGGGTATAGTTGCGTCCGCATCCAGCAACAGAGCTGCCAGCGCGTTTGGCGTGCGAAGTAGCGATAGATCACGCAGCTCGGAGAAAGCAGACATGAAGATGCTGAATGCAGTGACGCTTGCATGAACCCTATTGAGCGACAATCGCTGAAGCTTTGGAAACAGCATGCTAGTTCTGCTGACGGCTGCCGGGTGCTCGCTGAAGCCAGTTGCACAGTAGCTGAGGAGATTTTCAACGTTTGTGCCGGTTTCGCTGATAGTTCGTGGAACGACGGGATTTACGTCCTCGATGGAAAGTGCGACAAGGTTTGGGGCGTCAAGGCGACTGAGTAGCGCGATCAATGAATCCGTCTCGACGTACCCCACGTACCCCAAGTGAAGCTCCTCAAGCATCGGAAGTGACACGACACCGCGACGGTGATATGGCTGCGAAAGAACCGGCCCAGATTCCCGAATGACAAGTCTTCGCAGCAGAGGACACGCGTTGATTATCGCTGAAAACTGATCAAACGTTGGCCTGAGAGTTCTGTCGTGGTACGAAAGCTCCAATGACTGAATGCAGTGACCCACACCAAGGGTACGAAGGAAACCTGCCCAGTTCAACGGAACACCAAAGATATCCACGTGTCGCAGTTTCGGGAGGGAGTGACATGGCGCAATGGTGTCTTGATCAGACGCGCCAGTCAAGACGGCGAACGGGACACTATCGAGCTCCATAGGAGGGAGGAATTGTTCTGCATGGGCGTGGTAAAAGTCGTTGGATCGCTTGAGCTTGATGAACTCAAGGCGCGAAGCTGCTGAACCACTTCGAGTCGGGTTGTGCGAGCTGAGAAGTCGAAGTGCAGCACAAAGCGGCTTTAAAGTATCGCTGATGACCTCCAGCGAACGCCATCGGTCCATCTGCAGGAACAAAAAGGCGAAGAGGTGGGGCAAACAGTCTGCATAGAGTTGGCTGGTTTCAGTGGAGGACGGAGACATGCACCTGAAGGTAGAGACGTTTAGACTTCCTTGAGCTGTAAATAAGGCGAACGTCTTACCCTATCAATTCACGCGATTTTGGATCGCGAGCGTCGATGAGGATGTCCAGCGAGGAATGTTTCGACCGCGTGATAAAACTCGACAACTGATCAAAGGGTTGTTGATGGAAGGTGAATACGTGATTGGGATGTGATCGGACGAGCGCCTTGAGATCGATACTGAGTGTTGACCATAAGGTCGGGACAGATATTGCGAGCTTTCTCCAGCGGGAGTTCACGGACGCCAGTACAGTCGGTAGAGTTACACTTTCAGGACTGAACGCGCGTCCTTCTTCAGAGTCACAGTCGTGTGTGGCTAATGTGAATATGTATGACAGTAACTCCACTGGAAGGGACTCGATATGACACCGTGGGACGACCTGGGAACTCATGGAATGATGGTAGTCGCCTGTGAAGCACCGATAATCAGTACAAACAGGTGAATAGTGAAGGTAAGAGCACGAACAAGAGTAAGCTCGGATGAACCGATGAGTTAGATTTGGCAGCAGCTATGGATTGACGCGTATAATGATACGGTAGACGACGTAGAAAGCGAGGAAAGTGCGCGACAGTACAAACTGTTTTAATGCGACAAGTTGGTGGAAAACGAGTGCAGATTGATCCTTGGAATTATAAGGGATCGATGACAATGAAGTTTGGTGTGTGAAGTGAAACCGGAACGCGACAATAGAGGGTGGTGACACGCGGGATTTAAACTGAATATGTGGATCAGGACCACTGAAGTTTAATCGAAAAAGCCGAGGACAAGATGGAGCTAGTGACGATAACAGTACAAATATTTCACTCAAGTAGGGAGGTGAATGGGTCGGGCGACGCTAACGACATTATGCACCGCGGAGGAATCAACAAACGGCCGAGATGAGTTTTTCAATTTTAAATAAAGTTAAATTGGTATAGTACAGCGTTCTGTCATGTAACGGCAAAGACGGGGAGAAAGGAACGCGACGATGACCGATTGAAGTCGGGAGGGGTAAGCGGGCGACGAAAAACGACACATGACCGTACACGCAGTCGTGCGGCGTAAAGCGTAAATAAATAGTATGATAGGACGTCCATCGTGGACGTTGAACCATGGAGTAAGAAGACTAGGATCATCGAAGTGAAAGAGCATCGAGCATTACGACTCCGAGCTCGACGGTAAAAACCGTCGAGCTCCAGGCGACGAAAGCTTCGTCATGTTTTAATCGTCATCCTTATGAAGGAAAGACACGACGATACAAACCGTCGTGCCATAGCCAAGGGAGATGGACGCGATGGTACATACCGTCGCGCCAGGGGAACAAGTCGAAGTTCAAGGAAGTAGTAGCACAGTAGATTAGTCTGACCAAGTGCATGTGTCACGTGTCACGTGTGAAATTATTACATACGATGAAATCATTAGGTAAGTTATTTGGCATTGTTGGGCTCTTTGCATCTCCAAAGTTCCAAGTCCATTAATCCTCACTAGCATACGTTTAATTTACCTTCACTTTTCCTTGCACACGGACTCGACGGTTTGTATTGCCGAGTTCGTCGTTGTAGGGGTCCCTCGTTATGCTCGCTTCCTTCCCCACGGCACGACTGTTTGTATGGTCATGTCCCCGCCTTGAACGTACCGAGTCCCTCGTTACTCCCCTAGGTCCTCATCCTTCTCTACATGGCATGACTGTTTGTATGGTCGTGTGCATCTAGTTCGAGTTAATGGGGACTAACTCGAGCCATTCTCGACCATCGGACTTCGTAACCCTACCTGAGACCGCGACCTGCTCCAGTCTCAACCGCCAATCCACAAGATTTTTTGAGCATGCGGTTTGTACTGTCTAGCTTACTGTCTTCGATCCCCACGATTCTTCGATCCTCCGAGCGACACGGTAGGTACCGTTCGTGTAGCTCATTGAACCTTCCTGCGTACGTGATATCGACAAGTTAAACACGCGTGCTTTCTACATCTACATCTACCTTGCTGCTCTGGGGCGAACGAATAATTCAACTTGACGCCTTTGTTTATCTTCTGAATGTTCATCTTTGTCGATCTCCCCACCTGCTGGAGCCAGCTCCATGAGCTTGTCTGCCAATCCTTGGAGCAATCTGATGTCATCTGTGGCGCGTCCGTTGTTCCGACCTTCTGTCTCAACACACGGGTATTCGTCGAACATCATGGCCACTTTGAGATGTTGGGAAAAGGGGTCGGCAGCAATATCGCATCTGTTTTCAGGCCTTACCGATTCGGTTCTTCAAACGATTATCATGCGCACTTCCGATGCTGTTCCTCCTTTCTATGACTCGGAGCCCAGTGCCCCGCCACCCTTTCCTTCGATGCTCACGGACCAGCTTGAGCTATTTGGCAAAGTCCATCGTCCCTCGACCACACTTATCGCTGATGAAGTCCTGGTTCCTAAAGCTAGTATCATTGTTCCCATTATAAGGGCGTCGTCCACACCCGCCCCCGAGTCTGAACTTGCAAAGCGGTCGCTGAAGCATTCTGATCGCTCCTTCTCCCCATACTCAACGAAGGTCGCTTTCACGCGTTCCGATTCTCAAACTCCTAAGTCCTTGGATTCAGCGAGCTCTTCGGATTCTTTGTCAGACAGTGACTCCACGACTTCAAGCGTGAATTTATCAGAAGATTCGAAGATTCCTAAACCTGCTGGCGAACCTGGGCGCCCAGGGCGTGGAGGGTACACACTTCGTGAGGCTTTGGATTGGAATCCAAAGGCCTACGCGAAGTTCAAGGTTCGCCGAGCGTGCCCTCAGTATTGAAAAGCGGCTAACAAATCAAATCCCTAAGAAATATATGCACAGGCTCATTGAAGATCACCTTGACACGACAAAATGTGCTTCTGCCCAAAGTGCTGCGCTCTTGAAAGTTGTGTGCGGCAAGGTGACACCCGCCACCAGTCTCGCTTTTGTCAGTGATCTCATGGTGTATTAGGCTCTCCACGAATTCCCGGACCTTGAAGATTATAGCAACTCATGGCCAGCAAACGACATGATTATGACACGACTGAAATACACGTCGGGTCGCGCTAGACGAAAAGAGGGAGAGATGGCCTTAGGCAAGAGCAAGAGCACGAGGCGTCAACCCGAGGCATAACATATCTACATAGAACTGAATCGCATCATGGATGAGATACCTTAATTCACAAGAGTGCGAGACAGACAAAGCAACCTGCCCGATTCGCAAAGTCAGTAAGACCGCAACATTGACAAACCCTGCAGTTTCCCTCACGGCATGGTCAGGCACTGGACGAGTTTACTAAGTCAAACTCAGGGCTCAATTAATGCGATTTTACTTCACGTCATGGATCTTGGTTTCGGCGACGCGACGCGCTTTCTAATCCAGAACCGAGCGCACCCCACAGAGACAGAAGAAGCGTAGCTATTGTTTCTCAGAATGAAGCAACTATGACAACACTGGGCCTATATCACCGCCCGCCTTCCCAAGTTACAAAGCCGCTGTAAACAGCGCTATGACGCAAGTCCTGGTAATCTGAACCATATTTTGTTGTTGTTTGTCAATAGTGACCGAAAAGTGAGTATCAGACGACCTTGACGTTTGTTGTTCGTCGGTCGGAGTAACTGTAAATTAGAAGCAAGTAACATGCGACGTCGTCGGGACACAATAGCTATGGATTACTATCCACGTTGGTTTCAGCAGGGCGACGTGCTTTACTTGGAACGTTGACGATGAAATCGGGAGAGAAACCCACCGGCGATGTGGGGGTAGTGGCGTGTTATGGTTATGATGAGATTATCTGATGAATACAAATTCTTTACTTTCGAGATGCGTAAACGTTGTTATTCAGAGGAAACTTGGATAGTGGGTGCCGTTATAGGCCACGTGAGTGACAAGGCCGCTACGGATGATATATGAAAATTAAACGATGTGAGAGAGTTGCGGTAAAGGGCCCAAACTTATGAAGTTCGGCAATCACGCTCGCTTGGCAAGGTAGCTGCTAGCATCAGCAAAAGGCCTTGAAATTTCGCTTGTCAAAAAGAAGTTTGATGCTTACGGTGAGCTTACGACCTGGTGATCGGAGCAACGTGATTGGTGGAACAGATTTTTCTGTAGTTACACTGTAAATATCTCGATGCTGAACTACTAGTCTAGGGTTTGTGCTATTCACAAACCCTAGACTTGGGCCACTCATAATTAGCTGCTAGTGACGCTCATAAAGCTTCGCAGAGATTAATGCACGAATTCAAAACTATATGTGCTGCTATTGTGAGCTACTGATACTATGCGAACTCCGTACTCAATGTGTGATAACTGTCCTTATCCGCAAAATTGTTCAGAAAAAAGCGGTCATAACTTTCCAAACAAATGGCTGAAGAAATCTTTTCGTCCACCTTTTGGCCATATTCTGGGATCAACTCGACAGTGTGTGTTACACTTGTCAATGGAACCACACCACCACATCTGTGTTTGCCGTGTTGGTCTTCCACATATGAGCGTTCTACTGTCCACATCGCGAGTTCAGGCCGGTCATTGGGACTGGCGACAAAGTCGTAGTACTGAATATAGAGCAGCGGATGGGATAGATATGATGGCAAAACTAGGTCAGAAGCACGTGGAAGAGTCGGTTGAAAAATAAGTCGAACTTGTGCGATACGACTTACTGAACATAATCTCGTTAGTGCTGGAACATAAAAACAAAAATGACATACTGGTTTGGCCATCGTCGCCTGTGACGTCGACGAGGACATTATCACAGTTTCCGAGGGGAAATCCGCTATCTGGTGGATACGCCTGGATCACTCTGCTGGGCATGATCAGCTGTGGCCGGAAGGCCAAATGAAGCTGTAATCGAAATTTTTTCCATGCATGAAAGCGTCCATATTTGTGGTCCCAGCGGGTATGCTCGCCGGTGGAAAGAGAAAAACATTTGATGAACTGAGAGAGTGCATGATCAAAATCAATGAGCGAATATATGGTATGAATGTCGGTGGGCGACAAAGATTTGAAATCTGGTGTCGACGTCAGATGGAAGGCAGTGAGTGCATCTCCGGAAAGAATGCCCTTGAGGAAATGGTTACGAACTGGCCGAGGTCCGTGAACAGAGTGCGATTCATCAGGGAGAACACGAGAAACCCAGGAGAGCGCTGGATTGACGGTTGTCACCGCCTCATCCTCAGTGCATATCACATTGACAAGTGATGCATGATGAGAACGGAACAGTGCGTACAAATTAAACAGCTCTATTGACTCCTGGCGGTTGAGAATCCGTACAGACTGTTCCACGAAGTCGTTGACTCGTCGATTTGTTCGTACAAAGAGATCCTTGCAGTGAGTAATGAGCAAGCGCTCCGTCATATCCGCCGAAAACTGCATCAAAGTGCCCAGTCTCTCGACTGTGCCTCTGAAGCTTTGGAGCAACTTGAGTTTAGGAATAAAGAAATCTTCCTTAACACCTTTCTTCCCCCTCCGAGCCTGGGCCTCGATGACAGCGTGCTTGAATGTATGAAAGTCTGAAAGGGACTGCATCATTGACGACAAGGTTTCTGCAGAATGAATCGGATTTTGGGCAAGATAAATGAAGTCAACGAGGGCACGGATTGCGCGAATGAAGTTAGGTGGAGCAACACCTGCAATCGAAGCAACAATGGTGCGTTGAATATCTCGATGCTCACGACCTGTCATCTGGTTGACGTGCGTGATACCTTTGGTGAAGTGGCGTGTTCCCACCCGCTTATGCTGATTCATGTAGCGAGCATCGAGTTCGGATTTTCCTACTACCTCCTTGATCCAGGTGAGCGGATGGTCAGCAAAAAATTTGATGCAGGTGTGCAAGATCTCGCCAGCGAGAAAGACAGACGGACATGCGTAGATCCAGTCACGCCAATATGGCATGTGGACTCCAGATAGATGGACAGCTTTGGCTGCCTTCTGGAATTTGTCGAGATCCCAAACATCAATTGTTTGGGAGATCTCACAGATAAGTTGTAGCGTGTGTTGCCCAGTACGAGGAGGGTAGAGAACCCCATCACCAAAATTTTCTTGTGACGCCATTGTTAAAGGAGATGCACTTTTACTAACCGCAGCGATCATGCAAGCCTCTGGCAGGTCACATACGTGAGCGACGAGTGGCGTATAGACATAACGAATAAATCTGGAAGGATCAGGCATAAAGCAGCCTGTCTTGGCTGCCTGTTTAAGGTTGGCGCAGACAAGGTCAACGCACTTATGCCACAGCCGCGCCTGAAGAATGGTTTGATAATCGGGATGCACGCGAAACTTAGCGACGGGCATGTAAGCGATACAGCGCCAAGCTCGGAGTGTGGCCTTGGAGCGAACTTCTGAATCAAGGTTACCGATGGTGATGAAGATGGGGTGCATCTCGAGTCCCCCAGTGGTCCTCGTCACGGGAGTTTTGTCGGACCCTAAAATGATCGGTACTTGTGTAGCACCTAATGGGAGACAGTCCTACACGGAATCAATCTTTGAGTAGTCGACTAAGCAGGGCAAACTTACCTGAATTTTCCATGCTAAATCAGCGCTCATATAATCTCCATACTCGCGCTGATTCCCAACATGAACTACGTGGGGCTGAAAGGTAATATTATTGGTGAAAACTGGGTCACTGAAAAGTTGTTTGACGACTTCCAGAGCATCGCGCCAAATGAGCTGAATGGGATGGACAGTCTTGTAGCCTGTAAACTCTAGTTTTGAAACTTTCCACTCTGCAAGACAGGGTAGTGCGTCCATCCAATCTAGAAGTTGATCTTTTGAGGTGAAAGATGGTTTTGGGCGAGTGCTAAACTGTGAAAGAGTCAGACTTGTCGAATAGTGCTTAGAGTCTCCTACCCATTTCAACTTCAAGAACTTGTCAATTTGAGTCTGATTCAGGTTTTGAATCAAGAAACTAGCTAATTCCCACTCCCCCTCGTCATGGAAAGGATAATAAGTGTTTATCTCCCGCCGATAATTATATTGATCGTCCTGCAACCTGTCATATAGGTTTTTACCGATACCAAAGACGTATCCAGAGCGAGGATGACAATGGCCAGTGGTATTAGATGGCGGACCTCGCAACCCAGGGGGAACGGCTGATTGTTGTGAACGTGCTTTGTGCGGCCAGCAGGTAGACTGTGAATTGAGATGCAGAACGACTGCTTCGATCGAAGGGAACTCCCTATTGCAATTGGGACACAGCCTGGTAAAGGTATGCATACTAAAGCTAAAGTCAAAGCAACTTAATGGATAATACGCACATTTACTTGGGCAATGGGTCAGCGTTGGAGTCTAGTCTTTCAAACTCCGCTGTGTTGCTTGCTGACATTGCCAGTGTATTCACAGGGTATTGGTGTATTCACTGTACTATTATCAGCCTGCATTGAAGGCTAGAGAGACACTGTCTTGCCGACATTGATATTTGTTCATGTCACCCTCACTTCCACCTTCATCTCCGACTCGACCCAGCAGTCCCGGCAACTGCCTCCCTCCATCAAGCAGTCCCCCATCCTCTCCTCTATCGGGATCTTCTTCAGCTCCTGGGTCGCCTCTTTTTGATTCTTTCCATCTCTCAGAGAGTTCTCCTGATACCAGACATTCTGACCTATGTGCTTCCCTCAAAGGTATCTCCTCAGCGGAGAAGACACCTCCGCCCGTGACTCCGGCTTCTGCTACTGAGGGATCAAACAGCTTATTTTATAATCCACCCGCATCTCCAGATCTTTCTCGCAGTGCTCGACGTCAGTTTATACGTGACAGAATGAGCAGGAAGTTTGTACCATACCCCCCGGACCCAGCTCCACTCGAGGTTCGTTTTGCAGCGCGTCTTATGGGGCGGGAACGCAGACCTTATGTATCCAGCGAATCTCTTCTCAAGGTATTATTATTCTATCCAGTTCCATCCAAACAACTCATTTATATTTTATAAAGCATGCTGGATACTTAGAGAATGGCCTTGCGCAAATGCATCCTTCAACTCTGTACAAAGGATACCAGGCACAGCTTGCAGCTCGTGAGACTGCGCGTCAGCGCATGCTGGCGACTGCGTGGGAAATCGAGGAAACTGAACGCTTCATCATATTCCTCAATGCCATACATGCCGACAATGAAGACCGGCTCAAACTCACAGACGACCAGTTACACGCCTTTAGGAACCTCTTTTCTGAGCGTGACTGCGTAGATGCCGATGATGACCGAGACTATCTTCAAGCGGTCTATGAAGATGAATGCGAAATTCTTAAGATTGTCGCATCCCAAGCTGAGCATGTGGCAAAGGTCTTAGGCTCACGTGTCAGCAAGGCTTTCCAACATGGGGTTGGAGCATCCAGATCGTCTTCGTTGCAACCTGGGTTTGTTGGTGATGACAGTGTCGATAAGGCATCTGTAGAATCCGGGGCCGATGGTTCCGGATCCCCCACTGCCGGCGGGGTTCCTGATGACGACGACAACCCTATATATCTGGGAACCCCTGATAACCTTGGAATTCATCCCAAAGCGTCTTGCGTGGCCACCGCAATGTGACTTCTTATCGTGGTAAGTCGATTCATGTGTCTGATTATTACTCCACACTGATTGATTGATAAGGAATGTTGTAATACACGCGACACCCTTTCATCATAGCCTTCTTCCAGACCGTGTTAGTTTGTCATATGCACACCGTTTTTTACCTCCTCGCCCCTTCTTTCCCCGCTTCTTTGACCTCACGGTCACAAGTACATCAAGTCACAAGCTGTATAGTTTGTTTGCATTCGCGTATCTCCGTTTGTATTAGAATTGTAATTGATATGCCCTTTGCCCTCCCCCAAGTGATTCTACCTTGATGAGTACCCAACGTCGTGCGCCGCGCAAAGGTAAAACCACAATTCCAAAACCTCCTCGAGGATCTGGTCTCAACCCTTCCCATGCGCCTGCGGACACGCAGATCAATATTCCCGACGAACAACCGCGGCCTCCGGAAATGTCTAACTTCGATCCACATCAGCGACAGCACGCCTTTGGTACATATAATCAGTGAGTCTTCCCATCTCTTTTGTCGCGGACTCAGACTCAAAATAACAATAGGCCGAGTCCCGGCTACTCAAATCCTGGAGATAGTAGCTCAGGTGCCGGGTACACCAACTCGCTCTTAGGCGCCGGGTACACCAACTCGCTCTCTAATGCCGGGTACACCAACTCGCTCTCTAACGCTGGGTACACCAACTCTCTCTCTAGCGCCGGGTACACCAACTCTCTCTCTAGCGCCGGCTACACCAACTCTCTCTCTAGTGCCGGCTACACTAACTCTCTCTCTAGCGCCGGCTACACCAACTCTCTCTCTGCTGCCGGCTATAGCGCCCAGTCCTCCTCCCAGTCCTTGTCTGGCGCTCAATCCCCAAGGGCTGGTCCCTCAAACATCAACTACAATGTTCCATCACTCGCGTCACGTACGTATTGTTTCTTTTCATTGTAAATCATTTTCTAACAAACACACCATGTTCAGCACCGAGCTCCCACCTTATCGGGCCCATACCTCATTGGTTGGGCGGTGATGCCGACGCCGCACGCGCACTGACACACAATCCCATACTGGACGAAATACCGGTATCCAACGTGATACATGTGAGTACTTAATGTTATATATCTTACTACACGTTTTAATGATAACAGACTTTGGGTCCGGTGCGCTCTATCGAAAGACGCCGACGCTCCCGACGTATGCCCTCAACGCCGTCGTTGGCGCCTTATTCGGCGCCCCCATGCCCGACGCGTACCCCAAATCCCAGCCCGCCTCCATCCCCAACGCGCACTCCAAATCCTGGCCCGTCCTCGGCTACAACGTCGAGTGACGTTGTCATCCAGGTCAAGGTCAGTGCGGCGGACCGCGAGCAAGTCTACAGCCGCTCGCGAGACCTTATCAAGGGCACCATCTTCACGCCTGATGCAATCGCATCAAAATCTGAGGACCAGAGTCGCCTCGTCAGGGATATGATCAAAGCATCAGCGCCTTCCATTCCGAGCCTTCGCGGTAAGTTCAATGAAGACTCTTTTAGCTTATACTGAATGAATAGTAGGGCTAAATCGATGGCCATCGACGCCGAAAGATGTGCCGACGATTTGGCGGGGAGTGGTCCTAGTGCGTTCGACGATGATGACGATTGCGCGACAAAACGTGGTGATGGCATACGACCTGCTCCCCGAACACGATTCCAACATCCCGCCAGATCAATTTCGTGTCGATCGAGTAGCTAGTCTTGTGCGAGACAAGGCCTATATGCACAAACATTCATTTTCTCAAGTATGTTTATTTTTTGTTTCGAAATCAAGATCTAACTAAGGCTTAGGACGGGACGGTGATCATTCACAACAAATGCCAGAATAAATTCATATTCACCCTGCTCATCAAACTCATCTGGCTCTCGAATCACGGACTTCACGCGCTACTCGGCAACCACCAATCACCTCGTGAGGCACTGCATCATGCGTACTGCCTTGCATGTTCAATAACGGAGCATGCATTATTGGAACAAGGCCAACTAATATTCACGAAGCAGAAGTTCTCGCCGACTGAGAACAAGACGATATTCGATAGCGTTAATTTTTTTCTAAATTCTCTCAGTGAGGAGGAGAAGGCAAGTCTTGATAGATGGAAAGACCATCTGATTGTTTGTGGGAGGTCGCAACAGGGGTCTACTGCCATTCTTTCCGATTTCGACTTGACTATTGAAACGTAGAATTTGGACTATAGTTCGCAGTTTTAGCATAGTTCATAGTTTTTGTGTTAGATTCCCACAAATTTCGTGATTCTACCTACAATAAATTATTAAAATGCATACCGGAGTGCTTCAAACAGTCAGATATTAGTATTACGAACGCCAAACGTATACCGGAGTACTTAAAACAGTCATTACGGATGCCTGACCTGACTATACCATATCCGAGAAGTTTCAGACATGTTTTAAACTCGGTTCGAACACGGACCCTCTCTTAGATGTAGGCATGGTCGGGGCTGTACAAGATCTTGCAGTAGAATACAGAAAAAAAAAGTTCAGTGCAAGACCAAGGCGGAGATCGCTTACTTTCGAGATGAGAATGTCGGACAAGGAAGAGGACTCGAAAAAAAACTTGAGTCATCAGCACCTCTCAGCAGTACAAACTGCTGAGGGTCGATGATGATATGGTTCCATGTACAGGAAAAACGTACGTGACCGTACATACAGTCATCCCGTTATAGTAGTCGTGCACCATGGTTCGTCGTGTTCACAGCTTATTATGTAATAATTTTGATCGCGACCAACTTGAAGTTCCCTCAGATCTAGAGTTCGTCGCCCACTACTTCCGAGCTCGATGGTCTGTACTGTCGAGGTCATCCTCCTCAATCTATGCGGGTCTCTGAGTATGACGGTCTGTACAGTCAGATTCACTGTTCTCGATCCCCACCATCCCTCGAGACCATTGTTGTTTTCCAGTGCAGCAAGATTATGGTCATCGTGTCAAGCTTCATATTGGATGAGTTCAAGTACAAGGAGACGTATGAGACCAGGTATTGGAGAAGTACGAGTCGAGTACAAGTGGGGAGACGTATCAGAGACAGGTATGCTGTGTAGATTGTATTACATTCAACTTGATCCTACTACGTCACGGTTGTGTTTGATATTCATGGTCTCAGCCTCAGGATATTTTCCTGGCATTGTAGACCCTATCTCTTCATTAAGAGCGTTGTCGTTCTTCAAGGTATGCTCACTCACCTGCCTTGGAGATCGTTTTTAAATCCTTCGATGTCGTACCCAGTGCCATTCCGAGTAATCGGAGTCCGCTTGTCACACTATTCACGATGCGATATGCGATCGCATGTGGTATGAGATAATCGTCTGTTTGTTTGGCGTTCTATTGATATGTAATTCGTTCAGATCGCCTGAAGTGAATGGTTCGCCTTACTGGTCTGTCTGGCTTCTGCGCGAGCAGCACCATATCGTCAACATCGACGCATACCAATGCGGCTTGGAGTGCTATATGCACGCGCTTGCGAACCCGGTCAGTGCGGGGATCCGTTGTTTTAAAGTGACGTTGTATATACTTGTCCACGGTTTTCTGCAGCCCGCGAACAAGTCTTCTTCTCTTAGGGGACTCCTCGCTTTTACCGCCAGCAATGTTTCTCACTGGAACGACGGCCAGGGATCGGATCTTATATTTGGTGAGCTGCAGGGTTTATCAGCGTTGCGGTTGTGCTAACCTCATCATCTTCCATAGCGGTGTCCACACATCCATATGTCCCACTAGCAGAACTCATGGGTAGGTCGATATCCATATCTGATCCTATCCAGATGCCCTGATATTTGTCAGTTATGTAATGTTGGTAAGTGATCGACTCACAACATCGTCTTCGCGTCGTTGGAGCTCAAGCTGATAATATTTCAATGATGCCTTGATCCCCCATTCAAGTTCCTGAATCTCGTGTGCCTCCGAGGACCTTAAGGCGCGTGGTGAAGCTTTGGCATATGGGCTGAACCTCGTATTGAACGCGCTGTATTTGCGAGAAGGCAAGTTGGATCCCATAACTTCTGCGATACTTACCGAGTTAAGTTTGGACGATGATATTATACTGTAATCATTGTTTGCGACCCAGTCATAGCATCCCTTGACTGCATTATGGTTGCTTCCTTACTCAATTGTCATCCCAAGTGTATTGTCATCTCAAATGCTGGAACGAAACAATTATGGGCCCTGATTAATAATTCATTAAGTTGCGTTTGAGAGTAGTTACATTCCGATCATACTGACGTCATGATGTAGTCGCAAGCCGTACTCTCCCCGCGAACTTCGATCTGCATTCGCGTTATTATCATGAAGCCAATCAATTGTTGTGCTGTTGTTGCAGCCTGATCGTCGATAACAACGCAGATCCTAAACAAATAGGGGTGGTGTTGGAACAAGTGAGTGCACTTTTACAAGGCGGCGCTAATCATATAAAACAAGCACTTATCCTTTATAGCTACTCCCATCTTTCAAAGTCAAATCCGTAAAATGTGAGCCGCTCCTGTCGAACCTGTTCTCACTGCTACACGTTTTTTTACAGATGTTGTCAAGCGTCGGATATGCAGATTCCCTGTCATCGTTGCGCTCCCTGGAGGTACGTTAATTTGAAGCCACCACTGTAATGCCACATACTAACTATATGAAGGAGCATGTAACCTTAAAGCGAAAGGCTCTGGATGACTTCATAGACAGTTCTCAACGTCCCTCTCGCAAGAGGCATGCTTGTGCCTCCTATCTTCCGCGGGCCTCGGCGGCATTTGTTATGCGTGATATATCCAAACCTGCGAAAGCACGGAGAAGCACCTTGTCCCGTTCCTATGCAATTGCGGACCTAAATGCGATTCCGCTAGTACGTTCTCCCTGTATTTATTTCGTTCAAGTCTCATTGCATTTTGCAGGATGCGTGGGCTCTAGGTTGTAAATCCGGCGCTGCAGTAAGTCAACTGCACGCGCATATGGACCTATGCGATGGAGAGCACTGCAACGTAGCTAAGCCCAAATTCATGAAAAGGTCAGATACATCATAAATATTGAGTGTAACGCCGCTCATTCCTACCAAAGAGCCGAGGCAATGACATTAGAGATTGGTCGTGAGTCTGCAGAAGAGGACTTCAAGAAGATGTCAAAACGCAAGGCCCTCGAAGAAGTTCCGAGCGGTTCTTCTCCACCGACCCCCAAGAGGCGTTTTTTGTCTCGCTCGCCTGTAATCGCCAATCTAATCGTAAGTTGGCTAGCACCCCACGACCATATCTTCCATGTCTCACTGCATTTGTCGTAGATACCGGCACTTGGGACAGCGGATTCAACGACCCAGTCTCCGTATTGGCCCTTCCCGAACGAGCTTGTCTTGATCATTTTGGAAAAGTTGCCAGCTCGGGATCTGCGGTCTATTGCACAGGTGTCTTCTCTCTCTCGGGAGCTAGCGGCACTCTCTACTTTCGTTATGTAGGCTTGCAGTTCGATGACCAGTCCCTACTCGTCAGCACCCGAGCCTGTCTCACCCTGCTCCTGTACAGGCGCACAACCTTTTTTCATACGCCGAAGTATTTGCGATGCAATCTCCTTGACGCAGATGATCGTCACCTCGAGGCGCTCCTGGGTTTCTTGGAGTCATTTGAAAGCACGCAAGTGTTCTTTGTCTCTATCGTGAAAGATGGTGAAATGCTTGGAGATTTTGCGCCTCTGTTTCAGTCCATACAAGACTCAAGCTGCAGGAGTCTTCGGTTCTCAGATCGGGAGGCGTCTTACCATGCGTATCCTCCGCCGATTCTTCCTGACTTGGCTGCTGTTCCAACCCCCTTCAACAGATGTAATTTTCAAACATTCCACACAAACTCGCCTATATTTTTCTCCCGATCCATGGTTTCCCTCACCCTCTCATCGTTGCGGAACTCTTCGTTGACCGACCTCAGCATCACACATACTTCATTGAGTGCCCTTCAGTGGACAGCGCTGATGCGCGACCTTCATCTCCCGCAGCTTATATTCTTGTCTATTGACATCGAGTGTCCAACTCTTGCTCTCGTCGAGTTCTTGCCGCGACATGAAATTCGCCAGCTTTGGCTTTATGGTCGATGCATTTATCATCATCATCATCTTATGCAGAAAACAGATGCCCCTCTTATTCCTTTACATAGCTTACGCGTTCTCGCTGGACCTCTGTGGTACCTCGTGTCTCTATTAAGCAAAGTTCGCGCGCCTCTACACATTCAAACACTCGAATTGCACCTCGACGAGGAATCTCTGGCATCCGCTCCCAATTACTTGTCTGCGATCCTGGACATTACTCAACAATTCGTTGCTATAGATTGCCTGGGACTGAGCTTTTATCACGGATCGCTGATTTCTAGAAGTTTTGACGTCCCATTGGACGAGTATCGAACTATTCCTGTGAAGAAGCTCACTATTTATCTACCACATTGGTACAAATATTCAGATCAACACCCCTTGGCGAGTGTCACATACAAAGCTACATCGAGGGCTAAACTAATGTTATGTGCATATAGCTCTGCTGCAGTCCTTGGCTAGGAGTCTTCGACCATGTCGAAGAAGTTCATCTCAAGCCTGGAAACATAACATCATCTGAGCGGCAGGAACTGGAGGACGCTTTTTACCGCCCAGAGCATCCCTACCATTTGGATATCGGCAGTTATTTCTGACGTAGGGTACCCAGGTCTCCGCTTATTCTTCTATCGAGGTCTCTGATACTTTCCCCGCTTGTACTCACTCATACTTATTCAATATTTGGTCTCATACGTTGTCTCGTTCTATGTCAATACCCAGTTTCCCAAACAATTAAAAGCTGCTGCCCAAGTACAATTCACTGCGTATGGTGGACAGCAAGAGTAACATGTTGTTGGCGAACGGGCACGATATAGTAGGGTTATAGTAGGGATGTGGTAAGGATATTGGGTATATAACAAATGGGAGGAATCAATTCGTATCGACGCGATGTGCGCACTCCACTGGAACCCTTTTGAAGTTCTCGATGTGGCGGAGATGTTAGATATGGTTCTGAAGCAAATCACACATCCCGCTCACCTTGTCCTAAGTCGTTGCTAAGATCGACGCTTACACCTACGTGCAACGTATGAAGGCATTACGCGTAGGATGAACGCAAAAACACCCTGGACCATACTGAAATTACATGGTTGGTGACGCGCACGCATCCACCTCTGGAGTCTGTGAAAAGCCGCTCGAGTGCCGATGGACAAACGTGCGAGACAGCGTCTTGCGGTTGATGCTGCATTGTGCGTAGTGTAGCGAAGGACTTGGAACATTGATGAGAAAGGCGGGGACATGATGGTACATACAGTCATGCCATGTAGAGTTCAAGGCGGGGACATGACCATACAAACAGTCGTGCCGTGGGGAAGGAAGCGAGCATAACGAGGGACCCCTACAACGACGAACTCGGCAATACAAACCGTCGAGTCCGTGTGCAAGGAAAAGTGAAGGTAAATTAAACGTATGCTAGTAAGGATTAATGGACTTGGAACTTTGGAGATGCAAAGAGCCCAACAATGCCAAATAACTTACCTAATGATTTCATCGTATGTAATAATTTCACACGTGACACGTGACACATGCACTTGGTCAGACTAATCTACTGTGCTACTACTTCCTTGAACTTCGACTTGTTCCCCTGGCGCGACGGTATGTACCATCGCGTCCATCTCCCTTGGCTATGGCACGACGGTTTGTATCGTCGTGTCTTTCCTTCATAAGGATGACGATTAAAACATGACGAAGCTTTCGTCGCCTGGAGCTCGACGGTTTTTACCGTCGAGCTCGGAGTCGTAATGCTCGATGCTCTTTCACTTCGATGATCCTAGTCTTCTTACTCCATGGTTCAACGTCCACGATGGACGTCCTATCATACTATTTATTTACGCTTTACGCCGCACGACTGTGTGTACGGTCATGTGTCGTTTTTCGTCGCCCGCTTACCCCTCCCGACTTCAATCGGTCATCGTCGCGTTCCTTTCTCCCCGTCGTTGCCGTTACATGACAGAACGCTGTACTATACCAACTTAACTTTATTTAAAATTTAAAAACTCATCTCGGCCGTTTGTTGATTCCTCCGCGGTGCATAATGTCGTTAGCGTCGCCCGACCCATTCACCTCCCTACTTGAGTGAAATATTTGTACTGTTATCGTCACTAGCTCCATCTTGTCCTCAGGCTTTTTCGATTAAACTTCAGCGGTCTTGATCCACATATTCAATTTAAACCCCGCGTGTCACCACACTTTATTGTCGCGTTCCACTTCCACCCTCCACATCAACCTTCATTGTTATCGATCCCTTATAATTCCAAGGATAAATCTGCACTCGTTTTCCACCAACTTGTCGCATTAAAACAGTTTGTACTGTCGCGCACTTCTCTCGCTCTCACCAGCTTTCTACGCTGTCTACCGTGTCATTCTACTCGTCAATCCATAGCTGCTGCCAGATCTAACTCATCGGTTCATACTGTTGTGGTAGTAATTTGGTCGTAGTTTTGGTCTACCTTGTATTTCTGCGCGTTAACCCGTCACTTCCGACCCTGCCATGACTGCCGACCTCAAAATCTTTGTGCGTGATGGGAAGGTCTTCACTTCTCTCACTGCGCACTTCCTGCCCGAAGTTATTCCCTACCAACCTCCCTGGAACCCTCGCGACGATCACGATTATTCCCCTGATGACAGTGATGCGCCACTCACTCCCCGCTGGGCGTATGCGGCGCGTCCATGGTTTCCTGTCGTGCCTTTGAACCCTAGATTTGACGGGCCCATTTTCGAATGCCTGAACCACACCAGATTTTCTCTCCGCACGGAGGTCGACGCACAGGGTAAGCATATGCTCCATCGTGACATCAAAGAAAGATGGTACGAGCTGGAGAAGAAATTAATCTGGTGCGAGAAGCGTTTGGGTGCTGGGATGTTCGTTCCGTGGGGGACTATACTTCCACGGGCTCCAGCTACATTCGGGTATCTTCGTTCACATGAGAACGCCCAGCTCGCTATAAAGGTCGCGCTGAGGTCGCGCAACGCATTTATATGTACGTTACTCCTTATCTACATTGCATCGCGACTGACATTTTTTTAGTAATTGCCGCTGCTTGTACATGGCACATTATGAGCCATCGATATCGAGGTTCCAATCGCCCCTGGATGTCTGTCTTGACCGATGACCGCGAGTGCCCCATACCGGCTGAATGGGTTCTCGAGTTATCGCGTTCATTTGTAGGAGATCTGTCGGCCAATGTTCAACGCACCGGAGTGTTCATCTCCTCCATCCACTGCCCTTGGGAAGGGCAACTGTCCATGTTTGAACAGTTCTCGATCCCAATCTGGGTCCACTGTGCCGGAGACGCGTCTGCCGTCGACTCTATGTTGCGTCGCTATATTCCCTCCCGGGAAGCTCTCACCTCTGCGACCGAGGCTCTAAAATGGGGCCAAACGGCAGCTGATGGCGCCTGGGGTCATGCTAGTACGTGGGGTCTCCCTGAAAATGGACGTCAGCGTCTGGACGGCGGAGAACCGCAACCGGAGCCTGTCCTCGTATGGGGCGATGTAGATTACCCATCGGGTCCTTCTGACAATGTGTGTCAGAGCGGTCTGGATGGCGGAGAACAGCAACCGATGTCCCTCGATCCCCAAGAACAGGCGTCCTCTGCGGTTCTGTTTCCGGAGCCCGAGCGCAATAGTGGACAGTTGCGAGGAGAAGATTGGCAAGCGTTCTTAGCGCGGCGCCGCGACGGAAATAAGAAGAGAGAGGAGAAAGAGACTCCAGCTCAACGGCAATCGCGTCTGAGCCGTGCGACGTCAGCGGGGAACCAGGATTATCCTGCGAAGAAGACCACAGTGTTCGAATGGCAGCCCCAAGAGGAGTTTGACGGCTTTCGTCTACGCATTCGCATCACGAAGAATGACATACCCTCGACTTGGAGGGAGTACAGTGCAACTACAAGAATATACGACTCGTTTCACAACGAGTGGGACTTGTGTGATGCGTTGGATCCCACCAGCGTTCCCGATGGCGACTGGGAAGATGAAATTTTCGCTCCTCCCGCTCTTCCCATTCCTCCCGCTCCTCCCGCTTTACCACCGCCACCGCCTCAGCCTCCATCACGGTCTAGTTTCTTGCAGGACATCGATCGATACTTCGGTCATCATGAGGTTGCATCCTCAACGAAGTACATTCATGGCGTTGAGCATTTTGTCTCGATGTTACATTTCCACCTCGGATTCCAACTTGCAGCATCGACCTCTACGCCCCGAGGTAGATCGGCCACATTCGAATCCTGGATCAAAAAGACGCAGTGGCTTCACCTATGCAGGCTCATCGGCGATGCAGGCGCGGATGTCGCAACAATTCCGGACGCGCAGAAGGAGATCATCACTTGTTTTATAGGTTACCTAGTCACGTTGCCGACCTCTGGGTTGTCTGAAATGCCACCCGATCTCTGGGACCTAGGACCCGATTCTTCCTTAGCAGTCTCGAATGCGGGCATTCGAGTTTCCTACGTGCAACTTCCCCAACAACGACTCTATGTAATCGAGCCAAGTCTATCAGCAAGTCTGGTCGTCTGGAAACTCGTCGTCGCCGACGCCGCCACTGCTGTGATGTGCCTCCGGCGCGACTGGGGATCTGACATCACTAATATCGCGCTCAATCTCCTCCAAAAAGGAATCGCTTTCAAGACACTCCAAGCCATGGCAGTCGCGCCTGACGCACGTCGCCCACGTACGGAACTCCGTTCATACTCCCCGACCTACACGCTCCCCCCTTTCAAGGCTGTTTATGCGGATTACGTCGTGTATGAGCAGCATCGGCACGAATTCATGAATCAGCCGCGTGCAAGAGCCGCACTTCTTCATGGCGGGCTCGTATGGAGGCTGGCTTTGCATAGCTTTGGTGTCGATGATCTTCCCTCCGTTCTCGAGGGAATTTCACAGGAAGCTGTTCCGTTTGGCCTCATGTTGCCAATCAATGACCAGACTTACTTTGACGATGAGTTGTCGGAGGAGGAGGTGGATTTCATGTGCGGCACGTATTATTCATACAACAGTAAGTTCTTTCCTACCGACAACAACACAAACGCTCACATTTGATAAATAGACGACGGCACTATGGACAAGGTCTCTTGGTGGCCGAGACCTCAGGCCTGGGCTGCCTCAGGGTTGAATGTGGGATTCTGGTCCACGCGATGCGAAGAGTGGTTCCAGAAACGCCTCGACAACATTCGACAGGGTGTCTCTAGAATTCGCAATACACCCGTCAACGACGATAACGGTCCAATGACCGCCACTCGGTGGAAACGTTCGCTCAAGTTTAATCCGGGGACGAACAAAATGATGAAAAACGTTGACGCGGCGTGTTCCCAATTTCTCGCTAACAACGCAACTGGTGAGACTGATTTTGCTGTCATTATTCGTGCGTTTCTGAACGAGCTCCCACTTAGTTTTCGCGGAGAATTAGCGTTATACCGGATCGCAACATAATAACACACGCTAAGCCAACTGCGAACCTCCCATTGACCTCCACGATATACTTACATTTCCCCGCCGCAGCATTCCTCTTGTACCTACTTGCGTTGCCCCTGTCAGTCCCATATACATCGCCAGCACATACACATGCCTCGTCCCTTAAAGAGAAAGATGCACATGATGAAACACGTCCAACATAGGGTCAATGACCCAAACGGACTAAATCTGATGCCAAAAAAAAACCCCAAATAGCGTTAGATTATCGTATTCGTGACTGCTATGTACCTCTTGGAATAATTGTAATTGTACGAATGATGACTGTATAAATTGTGTGACTCGACGCTTCCCCTCCATGCACAACAATGGTGAGCCGATGACCATCTTGACGAAGTTGCGGGTGAATTGAGGAAAGACACGCCAATACAAATCGTCGTGCCGTAGCCTGAGCCAAGGGAGATGGACGCGATGGTACATACCGTCGGGCCAGGAAGTATAGTATATACATAAACTATCTGAGTGCGAGAAAGACGTGGGAAGATATTACGTACGTTATTTATTATTGCTGTGCACTTTCATCGCCAGTTTCCAAGTCTTACTCCTTAATCACTATATATGCTTCAATAGGTTACCTTCGCTTCTCGGACTCGACAGTTTGTGCTGCCGAGCTCGTCGTCATAGGCGTCCTTCCGCCTTCAATCTATGGCATGACTGTTTGTATGGTCGTGTCCCTGCCTTTCTCTCCCGATTTCACCGCCCTGAACGCATCCAGTCCCTCGTTACTCCCTGGGTTCGACGTTTCCGATGGTCTTCCCCCTTCTCCACACGGTATGACTGTTTGTACGGTTGTGTGCATCTAGCTAGGCTTAATGAAGTACTTTTTTACAGCATCCCTCGTGTCCCCACCTTTCCCTCCCGATTTCATCGCCTTGAACGTCCCGAGTCCTTCGCTACTCCCTGGATCGACATCCCCGATGGTCTTCCACCTTATCCGCACGGCATGACTGTATGTACAGTGGTGTACGTCCAGATAGGGTTAATGAAGCACTTCTCAGGGGACTACCGCGATCCATCCTCGACCATCGGACTTCACCACCCCACAGACTAAGACTCGCTCCAGTCTCAACCGCCCAGCAGTTCGTACTGCTGAGAGGCACTGATGACTTCATCCGAGCCCTCGTCCTTACCCAGAGTCTTTGGCCCAGCAAAAGTCATGTTCGGATTCACGATTGGACGTTTAAGAAGATCATTACAGGTGCCCCTTACCTTCGAGAACTCGTAAGAGGTGGTCGCTAAAGTCGGACTGCAGGAGGTCCTTGATGAGGTATGTGTGCATATATGCACCTTTCAGTTGACTAATTATCAAACAGATGCAATATTTGATTGGACAGACGTGCGATCCGAAGATGCGGCTCATCTGAACAGGAGCATTGCACGTTATGCGGTGTTGAATGTAAAGGGTCTGGTGCCGCCTGCCTTCCCTGATACCAAGGCATTGCGTGCACAGGTGGGTCTCAACCACCCTCAACTCGCTCGCTCCCTATCGCGACTTTCAGAATTGCGTGTCATTCTTTTATCTTCCACCACTATGGCGACCAGCTGTACATTTCACGGATTGGTTGGCGTTCAAAATGCTTCTAGATATCAATATGACACTAAACATTACTGGAAATACGACGGCTACATTGCCCTCCCTGACAGTGACTTAGCGGTTGCTGTGTTCAGATTCGGAGCTAATACTGCTTCGACTGAAGATGGTATCTATTTGATGCACGCACGCGCCATGATTGGTTCTGCTGTAACTGATGAGGGCACGTCTACTCACACTCTGCATCTATATGCCAATGATGTTCGCTGTTTGATACTTTTCTGTCACATCACTCATGTTATCAACTCAGTAAATCGCAAGCAGTTTCCTTTGAGACTAGCTTATGCGACTACTTTCAACGGTTGTTAAGGCCTGACGCTCTCTCGAACTGTTCTGGATCTTAGAACTGATCCTTTTGCGCATGGTCAACTGTATACAGCACTGTCGCGTGTGAGAAATCGTGAAGATTCGCTGTGCTTATTTGGGAGAGGAAATGAGGACAGAGATACGGCAAACTTTGTGTACAAAAGTCTGCTTTTGTAATAGTGGCAATAAATCCCAACGCCCGAAGGTCATTGCTTGTATTTCTATAAACTAAAAAGCCAAGCTTGAGGCTGGCACTATCAAGATGGTTGCACGTATCCATGACAGGAACTCACGTTATTCAAGGTAATGAAACATATACTCACCGGCCCCTCATCTGCACTCGCTAGGGGCGACTTTCATGTCTCAAACTCTTGCAATGCGGTACTTCACAGAATGATGGCTGTGGCTCACCCTCACCTGCTCCGAGTCCACCCACTCCTAAGCCACGTCCTGTTCCTAAGGCGCGTCCCGTTCGTAAAGCACCATTGGAGGAATCCACACCACTTCCCCGCAAAAAGCAGAAGGTGGTCCCACCAGAAAGCCCGCTCACAGAATCCGAACTATCGGAGGAGGAAGTTGAGTCTCCAGTTCGAAGATTGCCTCGACAAGCTCGACCAAAGGCCAGCCGCAAGACTACGGCATCCGCTAGCGCACTAAAGAAAAAGAAGGGAAGAAAACGACCTGTGCTGATTGTTCATTTTGTCTCGTAGTTGATGCTGATTTTCTCACTTACTAGTGTGCTTGTCTCATACCACATCTGCCTCACTCCACGTCGCCGTTTGCCGTTGCATGTTTTGCTCTTCTCGCTGTCATCCGTTCTTCCGTCGTGGGACTATTATGCCTTGGCGCATGTAGCACTCTTAGATGTACTTTTACTGTCTGCTCATACCATGTATTACAATACCGAAATGAAATGGTCTTATCAGAATTTATCACCAGATCAGAACATATAAGTAATTTGGGCAGATCAATGCTTCTAAGCTCAAAATCCATGCTAAGGCACGAGTTACTTGCCCAACCTTCGTCAGCTTATCTACAATTGAGTTTCTCGACCAGATCTTATACGTTGTTCCCCACACCTTGCGCGCGCTGATACGCCTGGTGCACCTTTTGCGACCTTGCACGTCCTGGTCAGCCCTTATCAGCCCTTATCAGCCCTTATCCGAGTTGGGGAGTTTCGGTGATGGTACGTTCAAGGCGTACAAACAGTCATGCCGTAGGGAAGGAAGCGAGCATAACGAGGGACCCGTCGAGTGGAACTTTGGCAAAGAGCCCAACAATGCCAAATAACTTACATACTTACTATTATTTGGAAATCACAGAGTATACTTGACCTGCGAACAGCTTATGTCATAATTCTAATCATTTGATTTTCCAGATGTTCCTGCAGTCGTCGGTCACCCACTACTTTTGTTCCGAGCTCGATGGTTTGTACTGTCGAGCTCATCGTTCACCCCATCATTTTTGCTGTTGGTTTCATTGGTTAGAGTATCAGTTTGTACTGTTGCTCACTGCCTGAGCCAGCTGCACTAGACAACGATCTCCTTCGTCGCCCCGACCTGCCGTATCCCTCATGAATCCCAACGTTCATATCTTCATCGACGAAGGGCGAATTTTCACATCGCTCAATGCATCCTCCCCTCCTGCCCTGATACCTCCTATTCCTAGGCCCTGGAACTCCTACCTGGAATCTGATTCTTCCCCCGATAACATCAAAGACGTATTAACTACTCAGTGGGCGTACGAAACGCGCCCATGGTTTCCTCTCATCCCCGAAAATCCTGTTTTCGATGGCGCAATATTCGGCTGCCTTAATCACTCCTTCTACTCCTTGCCCATAGAGCCTACATCTGACGGTCGCTACACTTTACGCGGAGACGTTAGAAGAGCATGGGAGAACCTAGAGCAAAAGTTACTTTGGTGCCAGACGTGCCTAGCGCAGAACATGCCCTTCCCTTGGTACGGTCAACCTCCGCGAACTCCGGCTGATTACGGATACACGAGGTCTCACGTGGATGCGAAGCTTGCGAAGAAGGTTGCTCTGAGATCACGCGACGCGTTCTTAGGTATGCAGAGGCTCCTTCACGTCTGTTACAACAACTTATCGTGTTCTCAGGCATCGCGGCTCTATGTACATACTTCATAATGCATCGTCTAGAGAGTCCGACGAATAGTCCCTCCAAATGGACCTCTGTCTTGACTAAAGACCCTCAGTGTTCTATACCCCCTGCATGGGTGGTAGAGCTCTCCCGCACATTCGTCGGGGATTTTACAAGTGCTGTACCTCGCACCGGTACGATTATCAACAGCGCCCACAGTCTGGGCTGGGACTCAGATGTGCACATGTTTGAACGCTTTAATGTTCCAACTTGGGTGTATTGGCCTCCTGATGGCGTGGTCGGAAAGCGCTGGAAAAATCACGCACCTTGTGCAGAAGCTATAGCCGTAGCAACTGAGAAAAGTTTGTGGGGCGATCAGTCTGATGCTAATCCATGGGGTGCTCAGTTTGACGGTAATCCGTGGGGCTCTCTCACCGACGGTGATCCGTGGGCCGCCCAGGCGAATGATCCTGGAAGTCTTCAATTAAACGATCCGCAACCTGTATCCAATGCTGATACTCAATCCCCGCCCGACTCTTCCTTTTTTCCGAAACCAGAGGCAGGTAGTGGGCAGAGACCTGGCGAGGATTGGCAGCAGTTCTTTGCCCGCCAGGCAGCACAACACAAGGAGAAGGAGGAGAAGGAGACGCCCTCTCAAAGGTCTGCACGTCTGAATCGCATAGAGATGGTGGGCCAGAAACTTCCTGGGAGGTCTAGCAAGGTCAAGGTGTTTGAATGGGAACCCCAAGACGAGCATAACGGCTTTTTGTTGCGCAAGGCCGTCACTAAAGCTAACATAGAGGGAGTCTGGGGAAATTATAACAGGTTTACAAGGATCTACAATTCCTTCGCCAATCAGTGGGACTTGTGTCTCGCGCTCAACCCAGATAGCGAGCCTGATGGTGATGATCGAGAAGATGACGACGACATCATGCCTCCACTCCCTATCCGCGGCCCCTCAAATGTCCCTCCTCCGGCCCCTTCCAGTTTCTCGCATGATATATACAGATACTTCGGCCAAGACGTTTCACTCTCATCAAGACACACGGGCATTGAAGGACTCGTGCCTGTCTTGCATCACCATTTCGGATATCGACTCAATGCACCTACGTCTGCTCCCTTGTATGGGTCCATACGACTCGAAGCGTGGATTAAGAAGATGACATGGGATCATGTGCGCAAGCTCCTTGGTGATTCAACAACAGAAACCGGCATGATCGCAGAGCCACAACGCAACAGTATCACGTACTACATCTCGTATCTAGTGAACTTGAAGGACACTGAGTTGGACACAATCCCGCCTGATGTCTGGGATTTGGGGCCACACCCATCTTTACCAATCGTGCATGCTCATATCCGGGTTTCTTACGCAGATTTATCACAACGCAGGTTTTACATAATCGAACCCCGCCAGTCCCCAACTCTTGTCGTGTGGACACTGGCTGTCCCCGACCCCATTACTGCTGTCATGTGCCTGCGACGTAACTGGGGGTCAGATATGAGGGAGATCGCATTGGCTCTCCTTAAAAGAGGCATGTCATTCAAGACTCTCCAGCGGATGGCCGTCGCCCCCACCTTGCGTCGCCCCCTTACTGAACTTCGGACATACACGTTGGGTCATCGAGCACCCCCCTTCCGAGCTGTGTACGCTGATTATGCTGTATACGAGCAACTACGCCACGAGTTCATGAATCGGCCTCGAGCAAGGGCTGCTTTCCTGCATGGAGGACTCGTGTGGCGGTTGGCTTTGCACAGCCTCGGTTTCGACCATCTTCCTTCTGTTCTTGATGGTATTTCGACTGAGGCCGTTCCATTTGGCCACCTGTTGTTTTGGAATGGCCAGACTTACTATGACGATGGGCTGTCGGATCAAGAAATCGATTTCATTTGCGGAACTTATTATATTGAGAAGCGTGAGCTTCCCGTTATCCGGAATCTCAGTAGTACTAATACTAATGCTTTCTAGCTCAGAGCACGGACGTAGTCTCCTGGTGGCCTAGGCCCAACGCTTGGGATGCATCGGGCCTGAACCTTGGTTTTTGGTCCGCGCGTTGCGAAGATTGGTTCCAAAAACGTCTTGACAACATCCGAGAAGGGGTTTCCCGCGCGCGACATTCATCCACCAGTGACGCTAATGGTCCAATGACCTCCACGCAATGGAAGCGCTCCCTGAAGTTTAACCCTGGCACAAACAAGCTGATGCAAAATATGTCGGCAGCGTGTTACGATCACATGTCGAGAGCATCTGGTAAAAGCGGTCTAGCTTACGTCCCTCTTCTCGTACTGATGTTTTATTCTAGTTTGGACTGACACATAGTTTGTACAAAAGTTGTATGTTGCATGCCCGTTACTCTGATACACTGTTTCATCATCACATACATCCGTAATTTTCCTGCTTGTGGGTGGTGATCGGTCGCCCTTAGTCAGGCGACTCAGGCCGTACTAGCCTGAAGGCGCTGTTGTTGCCTTAGATCAACGATTCAATGCATCTTTTTTTTCTGGACGGTTCGGTGTGGACGTTTCACGTTTGACTTTTAAGTACTCTCACTTGTTACGAACCGAAGAAATTGGGTTTTTACCCCGAAGCGAGGTACGAGTGTACGGTTAGGATTGTGACTGTGACAGTGGCACCACGCATTACCATGCTCCAGCAGGCTCAAACCTGCCTGCTGCCTACTGCCTGAGAAAACTTTTTACACCGGCTCGCACATTTGATACGATAAGTCAGACAGGTGTTCATGTTGGGTGCGAAGGGATGCATGGGGATGTCAATATCTAGATCGCAGCAGTATTGACTCCATCGTGGAGTTGAAATCGTGGAGTGGAGCATGACTTTCGTTGGGCCAAAGAGCCAGGGTAAGGACGAGGACGAGGGCTCGGATGAAGTTGGTCATCGACACATGACGAAGCCTTCGGGGCCCGGAGCTCGACGGTACAAACCGTCGAGGCTCGAGCTCGCATAATCCTTGTATTCCCGATTTCATCGCCAACCTTCAGAGTGACCGGGTCCTTCGCTGCTCCCTGGTTCAACATCGCCGATGGACGGCCTACCCCCTCATTCACAGCACGACGGTGTACGGTCATGTGTGTCTTTACCCTGGAACTATTATCATGTTGCTTTCACACGAATCTGTTGTGTACCTTTGATGAACTGGGCCGCATGGTAAAGCTCTGGTATGCGGTTTGAACCGCGATGAACGTGTGTATTCTGACTTCGACGGGTTTGTCCCTTTTTTCCCTCTCGGGCGTTGCGCCACTTCATCGGCTTCTTTCAGTACACTTATGTTTAGGGCATCTCAGCATATCATATATCCATCTTCGATGGAAGATACAATGGATTTCTATGGACGCGATTCTACGCACCGTCGCGCTAGATCGTGGTCTGTCCTGCCGAGAAGTTCTACCTAGGCGACCACCTCGAGCCATTCTCGACCATTCATAACCTGTTTCAGTCTCGGTCACTCAGCGATTTGTATTGCTGAGAGGTAATTGCGACTTATTCCTCCTCCTCCTCCTCCTCGTCATTGTCTGACACTCTTTCACTTTGTAAAAATCGCGTTTAAGTGGAGTTGAAGTCAAGATTGTTGCGATCCTCGCCCGACACTCCACTCGTGTTCGACGATGCAAAGCTCTGAATCACAATTGACAACCGGTTCCTAGAAACTTTCATCCTTTATCCAATCAGATACGCTGTACAATACTAAACTACCGCGACTTTCATCCATTTGAATGTTTGAGTCGGAATAGACAACCTCTCTGCTTGACGCTTGGTCAGTCCTGCAAGCCATTCGTCGTTATACAAGGCTTTAGGTAATTCATCAACTTGTGCCCTGGAAGTCGTCGGATTGCCGATTGCGCGTATCCGTTTCATTGGTTTTGAACCTTGAGGGGCGAAGATATCGGCATCCATAAGTCTTTGGTGATCAATGATATCTAACTCCCGTTCCATCGCACGGCGCCATACCATATTTTTGACACGAAGTACCGTTTCGATTTGATTTTCAACGTCGCTTTCCTCCGAACTCATGCCGCCATCTCCTAGTGTCTTGACTAATAGCTGAAGCCATTGCCAGGCTGGGAGGTCTTCTCGGTTTTCGTCGGTCGTTTGCTTGACGAGATGGTCAAGAACCGTTACTCTCCGTAGATATTTCTGATAGGGCATCAGTATCGGAATGGTATAGATATCTCGAGCATACATTTTTTCGGCGCGTCGTTTGACGAGTAGATTTCAGCGTTTCGTCCTTCTTCGCTATCAACCTCTCCTCCACCTCTGCAGGAGTCTCCAATGCGCCTTTTGCTGTGACCTTAGCCTGCGCAGCCGTCCAGATTGTACGTAGGCGCTTGTAGCGATGTTGAAGGATTTCCCTGAAATACGCTTCTGATCTTCGGATTGGCCAACTCTCTTCACCAACTCTTTTCTGCAATTCTTCCAGGAGCGAATCGATGATACTACTATCCCAGGGTGATTTGAATCCGTTTTGGAGATCAAAGGTGGGATCTCTTGGATCAGGACCTGGGCCGTCTTCGTATTCATACGCGTAGACATCCTGGCGACTCGCTGGCTCATGGCCTATGAACTCGGTGTCTTGACAAATTCCGAAAGCGTCTTTGAAGAGACGCCGAACTTCTCCCTACTTCAATGTAAGCGAAAGCTTTCTTTACTGCATTTCGGCTTACCAAAACAAAGTCTCTTTCGTGGTTTACTTCGGCAGCCTTCTCTCGCTGAATTTCATCTTGCTCCGTTTTTTTCCTCCGGGGACTGCGCTTGTTGGCGGCCGGAAAAAATTATTTGTTGATGAAAACACGTCTCAGCGCAGCTTCCACACCTCTTGCGACCGCGTCTTCCATACTGTTGATAGGTGTTGTGTTGTGTTCCTGATGTGGCGGAACGTCTTGCTTGGACGATGATTCTTGAGGGACTTCCTCAGCGTCCACCTAGTATCGCGCGTAACTTTACATCACATCCAGCGACATCGGACACTCACATCCGCAGCTACCGCTAAAAGACGAGTCCTGTGCGATATTCCGCGACTTCTCCTTATCTTCTTAATCGCATCAAAACACGGGGTGCCTGAAAATTGTCTTGCGGGCGGCGTGGATGGTTGTCCTGCGTCCCTTCGCCGAGAGGGGCTGGTATCCATTTCTGTGTCCTGGTCCTGTAACCTGTGACGTCTGGAAAATCGCTGTTCCATGTTGGCCAACTCGCTGTCTTTTTCCGCCTGGGGTGTGGATTTCAGCATCCTACGCATGAGTGAATGAAACAAAATCCTTGCCTTCAACTTATCAACTTCACGCTGTAACCTCCGCTCCATCTCGGTGAAGATCACATTTTCGCGCTCCCGAAGCTGTCTTGTTGTCATCAACCATTTTCCTGTCGAGTTATTCACCTCACCTCCTCATTTTTCTTTCTACTCAGCTCTTCCTCACGTCGGGCCAATTCTTGACCCAGCTTTGCTTCTCGTTGTGCCAGTTCTTGTGCAAGTCGTTCGCGACTATCGTCTAGAATTTGCTGCATGCTAGCTTCTATTGAATTGCGATTAGCCTGGCTGAGCGCTTCGCCGCTTTCTCTAATGTGATCTTGAAGTTGTTGCTGCTGCTGGGCACGGTTGTCCTGTCATGGTCATAAGCGCACATCTGGCGGTCGAATGCTGCGGGGGATTACCTCGAGTTCTTTGCGGGCCATTGCTAGTTGCTCTTCCCGCTCTCCTAGAGCTGCTTCCCACCGCTTTTTTATTTCGTCCATGTTGCACGAGTATTCTGATTGCTTTTGTTGCGCGTCCTGCACCGGTCACTAGTCAGATATTGGTAATGTCCAGTCAGATACTACGAACTGTTTCCATCTCACGCCTCATATTGTTTATCCGCTCCGTCTGATTGTAGACGATTTCGCGCAGTGACTCTGAGTAGTCAACTTCCTTAATACGACGCTTGTCCGATACCTGAACAGACACTGAGCCTGACATCAACCTCGATTCATGTACACCCTGGACATACCGGAGTAGCGAAGACTCGCTGTGCATGTAGCCCGCTCTTATCGAACTGAAATCTTGGTGTGGACTGACCCGCATCTTCACCCAAGTCCATCCGTGAGGCCTCCCTTTTGTCTGATTGAGCCGTCTTTGTTCGGGGCTGGCCTGTGCCATCGTCCAAGGGTTCTTCCAGGTCCATCTGGGAGGTCTCTCTCGATATCTAGATAGACAGTGAACCTGGCATAAACCACGCCTGATGTAAACATCGACGTACCGTATTAAGAAACATGTTGCATTGCAGTATATCCAACTTATTATATTGAGTCTGGGGCTGACTCGCGGAATCTTCCATTTCTTCGTCGTTAAACAAGTCTGCATCATAGGATGTTTGTACATCTTCCTGCTCAACGCGAACATCAAGTTGCATTTTTGCCGACATGGTCATAGGAGTGGTAAACATCGATAACTGTAGCTGCTAGATGTGGATATCTTGTACTATTCTGTCCTGACGACGTCGCATTTTACTTGTTTTTCATTTCCAAGTACTCCAACCGTCGAACAACAAACGTTAAGGTCGCCTGATGCTCACTCTTCGGTCACTATTGTTGAACAACAACAAAATATGGTTCAGATTACCAGGACTTGCGTCATAGCGCTGTTTACAGCGGCTTTGTAATTTGGGATGGCGGGCGGTGATATAGGCCTAGTGTTGTCATAGTTGCTTCATTCTGAGAAACAATAGCTACGTTTCTCCTGTCTCTGTGGGGTGCGCTCGGTTCTGGATTAGAAAGCGCGTCGCGTCGCCGAAACCGAGATCCACGACGCGAAATAAAATCACATTAATTAGGCCCTGAGTCTGACTAAACCCGTTCAGTGCCTGATCATGCCGTGAGGGAAACTGCAGGGTTTGTCAATGTTGCGGTGTGTTGCGGTCTTACTGACTTTGCGAATTGGAGAGGTTGCTTTGTGACTTGTCTGTCTCGCACTCTTGTGAATTAAGGTATGGAATCGGGAGAGAAAGGCAAGGACACGACCGCATAAACAGTCATGCCGTAGGGAAGGAAGCGAGCATAACGAGGGACCCCTACAACGACGAGCTCGGCAATACAAACCGTCGAGTCCGTTTGCAAGGAAAAGATGAAGGTATACTAAGCCAATACTAAGCGTATGATACTAGTAGTACGGCCCATGAATGGACCGATGAAAGAGCACAGCAACGATAAATAATGTACGTAATAATTTCACACATCCTGCACTTGGTCAGAAGTAGTACGTAGCACCAGTGCGAACGGTATCATGTACCATCGTATCCATCTCCCTATTCACATGGCACGACTGTATGTACGGTCATGTGTGTATTCAAATGTTCTGTAGTCATCGTCGTGAATATTTCAAGTCTCAAGCACCGGCACTTTTAAATCTTTTCCGACAATTTCACCAAAGGGGTGACAGGACCGTGCGCCTTCGATAATGTAATTTACCAATACATGGACCCGACAGTTTGTACCGTCGAGCTCGTTGTTCACAATGGCCTTACCACCTCCGTACACGGCATAACTGTATGTACGGTTATGCCCGCTTTTCTCTCCTGATTTTATCGCCAACTTGAACATTCGGAGATCTTCGCTACTCCCTGGCTCGACGTCCCCGATGGCCTTTGCGTCTTCGCTCCGGAACTACTGTCGTTTCACCCTTTCGTCGCCCGCTTTCCTACTCAAGTTCAATTTGTCATTGCCGTCATTTCTCTTCGTCGTCGTCGTTACATGATGGAACGTTCTACTGTTCAAGTATACCGTTACTGTGAGTCCCACCCCTTTTCCCTTGGTTTTCGTTTCAATTTAAATGGTCTTCCCAGTACAAGACCTGCATTCCTACATCGATAGGCGACGGTACATCCCATGTTACTGTTGTATTCAAATAGCGGCTATGTAGGTAATCGCCTTGTACTTCGTCACTACCGCTTCTTATTGCAATAAAGTCGCTGCCATTGTTATTTAATGACGCGCCTTTTTTCGTTTAAAAGGTTATCCTAGTTGGTTCTGCCTCCCAAGACATTCGTCTCACATCCCACACCAATAGGCGACGGTACATACTGTCGTCAGCACCACCCAACTCATTCGCCTCTGTATACATAATGCCTGCGTCTCGTGCAACGCTCAAACGATGCATGTGTGAGGAGTGCATTGGTAAAGGCGGATATGACGACAAAGGCGCACCAAAAGGAGTGCTCATGGCAGAACGTTCAATCGCGTCTCACGTCTGGCGTGTAAAAGCAGAACGTGCTGAGCACGCCGCAGGAAACACTGGAGCCGGGAATGTTGACTTGGATTGTGTCATCTCCAATCTTTCCGCGTGCACCATCGCTGGTAATAGGGTTGTCAGTCCCGTCTCCGCTATTACCGGCCATCTTAGTCGGTTGACCCTTTCCACGGACACTTCGCAGTCATCATCATCCACTTCTTCTATGGCCGATAATCTCTATCGTCAAGGACCGCACATGACTCATGCAGTACCTGTCGCTGACCATGACCTCGACCACTCGACGTTGTCAAATTCCCTGCCACCACCTGTGAAAATTCGCAGAGCTGCTGGTGATAAATCATCCAAAAAGCACAATCAGCGCACCGTGAAGGCATTAGAAATTCTTGACAACATCGAGTCCCGGATTCAACGGTGCTTTCGCTTGTTGCTGCATTCTGGTAGCATCAATGACATTAGTCACGAGCTACTTTTACTTCGCAAAGCTCTGGAGACTATCAGTCAACAGGCAGATGTCGTCGTCACGCGAAAGAAGGCCATCGTATCACGTATGGATGAATTGTCGACCCAGTTCGACAGCCAAAAGCCGTCCGATGACTCGCTGAAAGTACCTGTCGAGATTAATACCCGTAAGCAACGAGCACGTAATCATGATTCTTTGTTGATTGTTCTCTAGACACCCCTCAGCAAGCTTCAGTAAATCGGTCAGACGAAATTACGCAAGTCGTCCTATTCTTTTGTGTTACATGTAGGGTTGTCATGGGGGTCAGCAGGAGTAGCTGCGATTTAATCATCCAGATAATTTCCATCATACTGTTTCTGGCGTTCCGGAAGTCGGACAGCAGTCTCAGCTCTTCCCACGAAAATATCCTCAAGCAGATTCCTATGACCTCGGAAAGCGCAGAGGCAAGATTCCATCTCACCGGAAAAATCGTCCCGTATGCCGTCCGCAGCTGTCATTGCACCTACGCCCCGATTTATGCACCAGGCTCGACGACCCCAATATATCCTGAACGGTGCACACATTGTCCTACGCCCGGGACTGAATGTGGCAAGACCTTGCTTATAGTTGGCGCCGATGGAGAACCCCGTCCCAGAAGGACTTTCATGTACCATGATTTCAAGGATTATCTGTCTGGTCTCCTTTCTCGTAGAGATATCGAGGCCGTGATGGATCAGGCGTGTGATGAACTCATGGATTCCATAGACTCCCCTCATATCCCCTTCGTCAAAAATCCATTTGATGCTCAGTTTCTCCGTCAATTCCGTGGCCCAGAGTCAGGCTCACTGTTCGTCGATAGAGGAGAAGAAGGGCGCTATGTCTT